TCCGCGAGCACCCCACTTCGGAGGAGTATTCGAAATTGTTGTGAAAGCTGCTAAGCGTGCCATCACCACAGTACTCGCTAATGCTTCGCTTACCGACGAGGAGTTGCTGACCGCACTGATTGAAGCAGAGCATCTCATCAACACTCGTCCGCTGACTACAGTCTCAGATGATGCTCAGGATGATCAGCCCCTCACTCCCCAGCATTTCCTTGTGGGACGTATGGATGCGCCTCTGGCCAAGGAAGTGACGGTGCTTGGTGAGCATCAGCATCAGCGGAAGAGATGAGCGGCAGTACAGCGATTAGTACACGAAGTGTGGCAGCGATGGAAAAGAGAGTTTCTACCATCCTTGAACCTCCGGAAGTGCTGGCGCCAGGCCAAGAAGAGCTTGAAGGTGGGTGATGTGGTGATGTGGATGAGTCCCGGCACTCCGCGCGGAGAGTGGCCATTGGGTCGCATTATGGAGACCTTCCCAGGAAAGGACAACAAGGTGCGCGTCGTGGACGTCAAGATTGGAGGCAAGATCCTGCAACGTGCCATCCATCATCTCGTTCCTTTGCCAGTTGGAAATGAGTAACAGTGATGGACATGATTATGTAGTTGTGTCACACTCGGATTGTTTTTTTTTTTTAGTGTGGTTTTCTCCTCGTGTGAGAGGGGGATATGTTCCAGTAGATCCCGTAGATTACGTTTGCTAGGTCGATGTATTGTGTGCTGACCCGGCACATGTGAGCATGATGCTAGTACTGACTAGACACTGTTAGGACGTGTCTAGATATGCGATTGTCTGTACCGTAGCATTAATCTAGTACATGCATGGCATGCAATACCTGCCGGATCATATGACGGAACTGGTTTGCTGATTGGCTGTAGGTCTGTTCGCTTTATCAGCTGTGCTTTTTTGTTATAGTACCAGTTTCACTTTGGAAAGGAGGGTTTTTTTTTGTCCTGGAGAGAGGACAACAGCAGAGTTGGTATGTCCGTGCCAAGGCACGATGATGTGTGCATACTATTAGTCTAGAGGTTTTTGTTCAGTTACGAAGAACAGAAATAAATACAGTCTTCTTTGGAGTCCAGATTCCGTGACCGAACACCGACTACCAGGGTTTGTGTCATGCTGTGAGGCAGCTTCAACATGATAGTGGTGTGACCCTTAAAACCCGGCTGCCATTGAGTAGGGAGACGTGGTATGGAATATACCCAACGTGGCTTCCACGCTGGATCAGCAGGGGGGGGGGGGGGGGGGGGGGTTCACATGCCTGCACATGTTCCAAGTTCACCTAAACACCTGCCACAGACAACACTGCGGCCCACTGGATATGCCGTGCTACGCATATCGTCAAGAGTACTCTAATTTCAGAAATTTTCGGTGCTCAATATTTTCGGTATGAGGGCAAAGGGCCAGGTTGGGTGAACAGAAATTTTAGGTACAGAGAAGCAGTTCCCACGTACAGCGGTGTGCTAGCAGAAATGGTGTCTCGGCTTGTGGATCGCACAACTTCTGGAGCATGATGGGGGTTGCGTACACACCCCTCAGGGTTCTTGACCTGGTAGCACTCTACGGTATTCTACCGTAGATTCTACTTGGTGCATAGCCCATCGATGCAATCTTTTTGTCTCTGTGTGTCTCGAACTCTCGTATCCCTGGGCATGGCACGCGCCACCATTTTCGAAAATTTTGTTCTCGTGTTGGGCGAAAGAAAAACGACGTTGTTTATTGTCGTTTGCTTTGAAGATGGATGGTTGTGGCTCACCTCTTGCAAGGTGTTCTAGTGTCTCCCCTGCTGGTCAGGTGGAGGCACCAAGCGACATTCTTCCTCCTGCTGGTCAGGTGGGATTACCTAGCGACGCTGTTTATCCTGCTGGTCAGGTGGACATGCCGAGCGACCTTCTTCATCCTGCTGGTCAGGTGGAGTTAGTTCCAAACGCTGTTACCATTTTTGGCCATTTACCGACATTTCAGAGAGCTTGGCCTTGACTACTCCGTATTTACAGCTCACGAGATGGTGGCGATGGATGGTGAGAGGTGAATTGAGATACCAGCGGTAGCTGCTGCCACTCTCACAGCATCATCCACCCCTGTTACCATCGCTCGACTTGTTGTGAGATCAGATGGACACTTCGTCTACGAGGCACTACTTGGTGGAGTGGCTGAAAGTGGTACCTGCAGCTCTGACCTAGCTGCCCTAAATCTTTACCTTAGGCGTTTACTGCCAACATCAAGTTTGAAGTTTTGCCCAGGGATAAAAGAGTATGAGGAAAAGTATGCTGCTGTTCGTTTCGACACCAAACAGCTGCGGAGATTCAACTGGCCTTTTAATAACCCGCATCGATTCGAAAGCATGTGCCATCTGGCATGATCTGCCCTGGAGCGCAAGCATTTTTGAGTGATCTTCATCAATCACTCTGTGCTCGTCCTGCAAGTCCTTACGCCGGCAGCTCAAAAAGCTCAACCAGAGAGCAGAGAATAGGACAGAGGGTGATCGGTTGAGAAGAGTGGAAGCGAGCTCCAATGTCCCCATTCAGTTCCTATAACCGCATTCTCAGTCCCGACGTCGCCTGAGTGGCCGCCATCAACGGCAAGAACTCACTGATCGGCTGTCCAAGTATTCCGGAATGGAACTCTTGCTCAGCCAGGCTCAGAGTAGAGAATTGCAAAAGTCTTGCAACGTTATTGCAGCCAGCCACTCGGATGAGTTGAAGAAAGTTATTGCAGGGGTGGGGAGCAACGCATCCATGCTGACATCCACCTGGGAAGCAGACTTGGTCAAAGCACGAGACGTGTTCAATGCTGAGCAAGCTGGTAATACGAACGGTGACCATGGCAATAGATGGAGTATGCTGACATACCGAATCGCATTGGCAGTGTACAGCAGAAGTCCGTCTGCCTATGACGCCTTGAAAAGCTTTGGAATTTTCAAGCTTCCTAGCGTTCGGTCTCTGAAGCACTTCACAAGTAGCCAGTAGAGAAAACCGGGATGGTGTGAGGAGCACATTATGGAACAACGTGCAAAATACGACCTATTCACAACACAGCGAGAGAAGGATGGCAACAGGAAACCTTGCTGTGACGGCATTCTCATTTTCGATCAGGTAACGGTCATTTCGAAAGTTCTTTGGAATTCCCGTAGTGAGGAGATTTATGGCCTTGTAATGCCTAGTGCGGAAATGCAGAGCTTGCATGATGTGTTTCAGTCTCCCAAGGAGGACCACTCCGAGCGAGCTGAGTATGTTCTCCAGTTTATCTGGGGGGACATGACTGGTCCCTTTGACATCATCGGCCCATCCTACACCTCGGCACAGTCCCTGGACTCGAAGTTCACTTACAGCTGTGTGATTCGTGCGATAAAGGCTCTTCCAAGCATACAACTTCTACTGTCGTGCCTTAGTGTTTGACGGTGCTGCCACAAATCTAACGATGGTGAAAGCAATGGCAGGCGTGCGTGGACCGTATCCAACCACAGGCGAAGCTGGCTCCAACAAGCACGAAATCCCAGTGTCTGTGGGCCATCCGTTCTGGCCCGGCCAGAAGCTCCATTTCTTCATGTGCCTAGTGCCTATCCCACCAGCTCAAGAATAATGTGAATGGTCTATTTTCATCCAGGCAGGGTGGGACAAAGCAGTTCACATCTCCTGCAGATATCGCATTTGGTTGGCAAGCCATCATCGATCTCTATAATCGAGATCTGAGTCGCCACCAAAAAGGCTTGCCGAGGGACGTACCTGAGCTACGGAAGAATTTTATCTGGAGGCATGCATGGACAAAGCTGAATGTGCATCCTGCTAAAGTGATGCAACAAGACCATGATGTTCTTAGTGAACTCCACCAGTAGAGCAAGACAACACCTCCGCCATCTGATGTAAAGAATGCGCAGGCATGTCTGGATTACCTTTCTGCTTGCAACCTCATCTTTGAGCGTGGCTTGCTCAGTCACGAGGATGTGTCCAGCATGCAGGCAACAGCCATTCAAAATGTCAGAAATGAGCTCAAGCACTTCATTCACTGGCGCGATGGCCTTCTCGGCAAGCACCCAGGACTTTCTCCTGTTTCGCCAGGTCAGAAAATGGTTTTGGCCTGGCAAACATGGGACCTGCTGAGGCTGATCTGCTATGGATTCATTCAATTTGCGGAGGAGTTCCTTCCTGCGCACCCCGCCTATTACTGTATAAGCAGAAAATTTCGTCGGTCGATAATTTCGTCCAACTCAAAAGAAAGGCAGTTCGTCCGGCTGTAAATTTCGTCCATGGATCATAAGAGTGTATTGAAAAGCTGGACAAATCCGGATTAGTCCGGCATTTAATTTAGTCCCAAAGCTCCTTGGACGAAAGAGACGAAATTAAATTCCAGACGAATATTTCTGCTTGCACAGTACATTGTGCCAGTGAGAGTATCCGGTAGTGCGATAGAAACGATTTTCTCTCAGTGTAAACATGCAGCTGGTGGGCGTCTTCCCGAAAAAAAACTACATGACATCCCTGGGTACTGTAAGTTTGCAGCGAAGCTTGCATCCGGTGCACTCAAGCGGCAAAGATTACCGTGATGCAATTGCCCATGTGGATGTGCCCCTGCGCCGCAAGAAGTGATGTAATCCGATTCGATACGATATGGTCATACCTCCCCTATCTCTCTATCTGTGTCTCTCTGTCTGTCTGTCTGTGTGTCTTTCTCTTTTTCTGTCTGTCTTTCTCTGTTTCTGTCTGTCTGCCTGTCTGCCTGTCTGTCTGTCTGTCTCTCGCTGTCTCTCCATACATCCCCCCTCTCTCTTCTGTCTGTCTATCTCTCTTTATGTCTCTCTGTTTGTCCCTATGTCTCTGTCTGTCTGTCTGTCTGTCTGTCTGTCTGACTGTCTCTCTCTGTGTGTATGCTCGGTATACGGAGAGTTTCGCGTTCGGAAAATTCCCCACCGCACAGTGCGTGGACAACATGAACACGAGCAAGTCCCAGCAGAGTTTCAGTCTCGAGAGCATAGCACTGCACCCTTCTACTTTGTGATCCTTACCGAAAAGAACAACTTCCAAAGCGTCCAAGTCGTCTTTGACAGCACGCCGCACCAGCGGATACATACGAGATGGGTAGCCAAATATGGTTTGTTCATAGCCTCCGAGTCTGACAGCAGTGACAGCAGAACACATGTACCAACACACACACACACACACACACACACACACACACACACACACACACACACACACACACACACACACACACACACACACACACACACACACACACACACACACACACACACACACACACACACACACACACACACACACACATATAGACACACACACACATACACACATATAGACACACACACATAGACACACACATACACACACATAGATACACTCATACACACACATATAGATACACACATACACACACATATAGATACACACATACACACATATAGACATACACACATACACATACATATAGACACACACATACACACATATAGACACACACACATACACACACATATAGACACACACAAATAGACACACACACATACACACCCACATAAACAGGCGGGCACAGTGGGTTGGTCAAAGACCATGATTGAGATACAAGAGGTACCTGGCTCAAGTCCTGCCTGGGAGCGGTTTTTCCAGCCGTGCTGCTACCCATAGTCAACTGGGAACTTGTGGCCAGGCACAAGGGAAGGGGTACATGGATGCGGCTAATGGGGTTTCTCGGCACTTGTGCCAGTGGTTGTGAGACTTATCCACTCACCCCACCCACTGTTAGGCGCTGCATCTGCCGCTAGAGTTTTACCGGGTGTTAGCGGCCGTCGTGAGTTCCCTTCGGGAACGGACACGATACTTTACTTTTTTAGTTTTTTTATACACTCAACCACACACACCCACACACATGGGAACACACAGACACCGACACAGACACACACGAGCACACACAGGTACACACACACAGGTACACACACAGGTACACATACAAAGAATGTACTGTAAAAGCAGTAGATGTAAGTCCAAGCCAGTGAACGTCAAGGCTACAAAGAGTCAGAAACAGACTACATGCACGAGTGGATGCTCCCCCCTCCTCCCCTCAAATACGTATGCGCAATACGTATGCACGTGCTCAGGCACAGGCACATCAATGCGGCCATGAACGCTACCCCCTCCCCCTCAAATACGAACACACATGTACAGGCGCAGCCACATGGATACGACCATGAACGGTGACTCACTTGCAAGACCTGCCGTCAACAAACACGTTGCCGCTGTGCAGATGTAGACATGGTGGAAAGCCACGGCCACGCAGGAATATTAGAGCCTGCAGTAGAGTGAGTTGAAACACCGCCCATACAGCACAAACACAATAATATCATAGAGGAAAACCTACGTGGAGACAATAACTTAATGGTGGTGGTGGTGACAGTCGATTTTTTTCTTCAGGCTTTTCCCGTTTGCGTCTTTCCCCCCAAACCAGTGAATAATTTAATTATAGCAATAAAAAGGATCAGCTGCGCACTCATTCTATACACGCATCAAGGCAAAGTTTGACAACTTGTGCAAGTACAGAGGGAAAAGAAGTTTCAGCCTGGATTAAAAACTACGGCCAGGTTACTAGGAGACCCATCTGGGAGTCGGTACTGCAAATGGGGAAACGTTAGCGCCGGTTGTAGTCCACCATTAGTGAGCACAGATCAATTTGTACCTGGAAATGTTTGAGATTGGAGTCAATTTCATTTTGTCATTACACCTCTACATTTCACACCGGCTTACATGCGGACTTTGACCACTTTGGTGGTGGGTCCGATCTACTCACCTCCCACAGCTTTACGAGTTGCATCTACGCCTTGATCCAAGAGGGTGGTGGCATACCTGCGGATGCGGAGAACTTTGCTTCCAGCCCAGTCTCACGCGAACCGTGATTTTTTTACATGTACTTTTACGAGTTCACACCCATCGCGAAATCACAAACGTTTCCCGGTTGACAGTACCTTTCTTTGATTGAGGACGGAGAGAAGACAAGCATTGCCCTCGCTACGTTGAGCTTATTGAATCAAAAGCGCTCATACAACTCTTGCCCGTTACGGTCAGACTGGACTACTGTAAAACCGGAAAGTCTAACGAGTCACAAAGTCTAACGTTTTAACGACCAATTTTTTTTCCTTATTGAAGAAACGTAATCGCGAACCCGGTTTGAGATGTCTGTGTAAAGATGCGCACACAGATGGGTGGCCAAGTAGCCATCGTTAAACTTTCTGCACGTTATCATGCCAAAATTACACAAACGTTAAACTTTTTGGTCGTAACTTTTCCGGTTTTACAGTATAAGCTACTTTCACCTTAACATAACAGAAACATTTTTTTTCGCTTTGGCAAAAGTTTTAAAATTCAACATTGTCTGAACTGTAGCAACCATGGCATTGGCAGCACAGACTTGTCAGCAGCAGTACACCGGATCATAGTATACTGGTACACATTCGTTAGGTTCACATGCCAGTCACTGCATACCTCTAGTACTTGTCGGCCGTACGTGCGGATGAGCCCTTCGGACAGCGGCCGCCCGCGGAACTGGTACTTCTCATGCATGACATTGTCGGGTTTGGACTATACAACAAACAGAGAAAGACAGACAGACAGATAGCCCGACAGACAGACAGAGAGACACAAAGACAGACATGTAGGCAGGCAGGCACACAGACACACAGACAGACACACACACACACACACACTCACACTTACTTCAGCTTATTGTTTTGAGATAAAACAGGCTTACCCGAGACAAAAAGGCTTATGATAGCTGCAACACTGCTCCAACACATGCACGTCAGTGGCAACAATGTGACCGAAAAACAGACCACAACACGATTGGTAATCAAAGCAATCACACCATTATCCACACTTCACTATTCCGTGAAAGAGAAACTCCAGCAATCTCTCTCGCTCTAAAAGTACTCCAGAAGTACGCAGAGTACACAGTGAGCTGGCCTGGCGAAAAGGCAATACAGTAGACTTGAGGGGCTCACATTGTAGATTTGGTCCTTGATGCTGCCCTTTTCCATGCGCTGATGAATGACCGTGACTAGATCCTGCTCGGCTATGTAGTCGACGTGCATGACTGGGAACAGGTACGCATGCTGAGAGCACAACAAAACACATCGATGCACACACCCGCACACACACACACACACACACACGCGCGCGCACACACACACACACACACACACACACACACACACGCATGTGAGCATGCATACACACACAAGTACAGTTAAAACTGGATACAATGTACTTCAAAGTACCCACAAGGGAACACAGACAAAGTACTTCCTAGCTGAAGTACTTACTATACATTTTGCACAAAAAAAAGTTAACTTTCACGCAGTAAGTACCTATGTTCTGAGTTACTGGCATTCCTAGCTATGGGCTGTGCTCGGTCCCCACCTGCCTGGATTAGGGGACTTTTACTGCACATACATACCGTACATCTTGTTGAACATATGCACGTACCCGCAGAGCTGTCATGAGTTGCTGGATAGTCCGGACGGTTGCCTTGCTCAAGTCAACGGGACACGTCGAGGCACGGCCCAGCTAAACGATAATAGTCAATAGGAGAACAGAGAGCAGCGTTACACCAGTAGCACAATCATTCGGCAGAAGCACAGACAGACACGCAAGTGAGGGAAATACACATGTGCACGCACACACACACCAACATCCACACACACACATGCGTGCGCACGCACGTACGTACCCCCCCCCCCCCCCACACACACACATGCACAGGCAAAGAGCGGCCCACGCGAGCCAACAGCGCATGCTAGGCAGTGCTGCATACTGTCACCCTTACTCCAGATTACGAATACAAAGCACGAGATAAGAAAAGAAAAGAAAAGTGCCCGTTTAAAAATGATCTTACCATGCTCATAATGAGCTCCTTATTCGACCTGTTGTCCGTGATAAGATACCAACGCTTGCCGGCTCTGCCACCTATCCGACGCGAACACACACACACACACACACACACACACACACACATCAGCAATGCAACAACCACACGAGCACATGCATCCCTGGCAGTTGCCGTGAAACTTCAGTACAACGTACCTCCTCCGACATACAGACAAGTCCAATACAAACCGTATAGCCCAGGGTAATGTACACTAAAGTCAAATGACTGGTATTGTATAAAGCAAGCCCCCAATTTTTAACATGTACTTACCGTATTTTATCGGTTTTATTGACCTAAAAACTGGTCTAAACAGGGGCAGTCGACTTACAACCGGGGTATAAATGCCCTTAAAGGGGCACTCCGGCTTCATTTTCGACGCCGAGTTTTCGATGCCAAGACGAAGGTAGGTGAAAGAGAAGACACCTCGAACAAGAACGAGTCTCCAGAAGCGATCGAGTCGAGCAGGAAGACGACTTTTGAATTTCGGCCGAGCGAGCGCTGATGACGTAATGAGGGATTAGCTTGCCAGTGGAAATGCATCTGCGCACATACATTTCACACACTTTTTGGCCAATTTTCAATCGAAGAAGAGGTTGTTTGCTATGTTCTCCCAACGCCGTGAGCGATCCCGTCTTCTATACCCTTCCAGGTACCCTGAAGGTCCTCCAGAGGAGAATTTATCTCCATCAAAGTGTTGTTGATCCGCTAAATTCGTCTCGAGACATATTCACCCAGTGCAGTGCTGATAAATGTAGAATGTTGAATCTGTGATAATTGTCGACGATGGAGAGAGAGGCTGATAGCCGCTGTCGCAGGGAGAGTGAAGCTGCTGGAAGTAACAACAGGGAGCCCGTTTGTATCACCTGAACAACCAGACTTCAAAGCAGCTTGACCAAATCGGAGGGTGCCTCGTTGCTTATCGTGAATATTACACCGGCATGAATTACTACAAGTATACTGGTGAGTTTTTATCTTGTTTCTGTTCGTATGCTAGTACCCTGGCCTGGAGTTCTCGTTAGCAAATTCCTATTCCCTGGCGTTTTCTAAACATTCCGTGTGGTACTGAATACGTGATCAAGTATTCCGATTTGGGTAAATGTGGAATTTGGACATGTATTTTATTAAAAAAATTCTTTTCCAAATAGAGCGTTTGTAGAGAAATGGTTGCCCAAATACAACAAAATTTATTCTGCAGTTCTACAACTAACTTGTACTGAAATCCAGTCGAAGTAAAAATGATTCTTCATGACAGTTGGGGTCAATGAAATCTGATCCAGGCATAACGAATGGTGACGCCTGCCACCCCGGGAACGAATGCCCATTTGGTGGGGGATACCAAAGTACTCGAAAGTAGTGCGTGTTTCAATGTGGCATGGAAGTTTTATATGATCTCTGGTCAATGCAACATACAATAGCCATCATGAATTGCAGGCCTCGAACGCAACTCCGACCAGAATTGGCAGTTCCCTAAGTTAGATGCTTTATAATTCCATGGCCCCAGCTGTAGTTATAGAGGGTTTTTTGCACATTATTCTTATAGTCGATAGATTTATACTGATGGCCACAAACAACGGCAGTTCAAACTTCACTGATGTGTTTATGAGCTGAGAGATTTCTCTCCACTATTTCTGTTGTGCACACAGGTTTGTCCAATATGCATTGACCGTATTGGGTATGGTACCTGCTCTGAGAAGGGAATCGCTGGAGCCACAGTCCAACTATACAGGCTTTCAAGAAACAGAGAGGAGCCATCTTTGCAAGCTGATACCTGATGTGTACCGACAGAATTCTCACGAGATACCTTACAGACTACGCCTGGTGTATACTTCATAGTACTCCTTCGACTACTGTCTAGAATCAAGTCGACTGAAGCAAGTTCAAACAACTCTGGCTTCAAACGAGCCGTCGATTAGACAAACAAAACATTCTCTCATATACTAGAGCACTCTGACAACTCACGACCTATTCCTAACGATTGCCACCGCTTATAAATATGTAGAGTACTGATTGGAATGTGCTCACAATCTCAACAATCCAGTGCTATAATTATTTGAACTATGTGTTCCTTCCATAAATGTTGTATCCACATATAATCCACAGTGCTGCAAAGTTTCAGAGTTCTCAGGGTATCAAACAAAATTATTTCAAATACAGTGAAATAGTTCGTGGACATTATAGCGTAACTTGTAGTTCCCTGGTCCTTTTCTTTGCTATAAATTAATCCTTTGCTCTCTAGCCACCGGTGAGTCCAACAGTGAAATTGTTAGTTCATATGTATGTGGGTATGTGGGGGGGGGGGGGGGGTGAACATATTTCTATATAAGGGACCTGCAACTGTAATACCACAGTACAGTAGATAGCAAATATGTAGAAAACAGAAATGCATGTTCCCATCATTGTACATGGACGGGCGCAGCAGGCCGAAGCTATAAGCCAGAACAGGATTTACAATCGCCTAGAGATACTTGAGCTTTTCCAGTATTCTCCGTGAGCTGTCCCATTCCACAATGGTTCATGCCACCATTATTTCTGGTAGTATCCATGTGCATAATTCCAAGAACATCTCGGATTCTTCAACAATTTGTGCCACGGCAAAAGACAACGCTTGACTCGGTCACTGGGGCTGTCAAACTTCACATCACAAATGAACTTCAATTTCTCATCTGGTTCAAGTATATGTACTGCCATGACTTGACCATGCTTCATCCACAGCTGGGCGAAGATTGTGGCGTTGAATTCCATAGCGCACCTTCTTGCTGCCATGCAGGAATATGTTGAGAGAAGTGAACATATTTTTACTAAAAAAACAACAGCCACTGAAGAGGATAGCATTAGCAATAGCCTTGGGTGAATTTCCTGCAGGTACACGTTGTTGGTAGGTCTACTGGTCGGTCTCCGTATTGTCAAGTTCAGAAATCACCTGTACTACACATCTTGTAGAAGGGATCCTGATCGAATAATTCTCTGATCATAAAATTCACTAAACTGAGGGCGAGACAAATAGTCAGTACTCCCCGATTCCGTCTAGCTGCTTTGATCAAGTGATGCTAACAAGCTCCCCGTTGTTACTTCCAGCAGCTTCACTTTCCCTGCGACAGCGGCTATCAACCGTTCTGTCCATCGTCGACAATTATCACAGATTCAACATTCTACATTTGTCAGCACTGCACTGGGTGAATATGTCTCGAGACGAATTTAGCGGATCAACAACGCTTTGCTGGAGATAAATTCTCCTCTGGAGGACCTTCAGGGTACCTGGAAGGGTATAGAAGACGGGATCGCTCACGATGTTGAGAGAACATAGAAAACAACCTCCTCTTCGATTGAAAATTGGCCAAAAAGTGTGTGAAATGTATGTGCGCAGATGCATTTCCACTGGCAAGCTAATCCCTCATTACGTCATCAGCGCTCGCTCGGCCGAAATTCAAAAGTCGTCTTCCTGCTCGACTCGATCGCTTCTGGAGACTCGTTCTTGTTCGAGGGGTCTTCTCTTTCACCAACCTTCGTCTTGGCATCGAAAACTCGGCGTCGAAAATGAAGCCGGAGTGCCCCTTTAAACCGGTAAATCGAGGCCCCGAGTTTGGAGGTCGACTTACAACCGGTAAAATACGGCAGTTATTACTTGTGTTGGCCAAAGAAATTTGCGTCCATAACCAAGTAGTGCCGTAAGACTTGTCGTTAAGCATACAGAGGTGTCAGGAACGCGTAAAAAGCAGCGGCTCTGCACATGAGGCAAACCATGGCTTTCACCGGCGCATACCGTACACCATCATGGGCAAAGGAAAGGTATTTCGCTACAGTACTGTCGGTCGCCGAAGAACTGGGGGTCGGCCTCCTAGCCTAGACCGATCTTATTTTCACGTATTACAGTCTATGCCCAGTTGAGTTACCGTGTATACATTGTTTTTTTTACGAGAACCAGGTATGCTGTGCTTGGTAAAATTCTAGCTTGGTCGTTCTTCGGCGCCCGGCAGTACTGTATGACAAGGACAGCTGCTACTCACCAATCTGCCGTAGCTGAGTCTTCATCGTATAGCCACCGACTGCACGTAGGTAGAACTGACAATTCAGCAATGCTGATTCTGCAAAAGGGACAACAGGAACACAAATCCACTAGTCAACAACAACTCGTACATGCACCGTGAGTGTGTGAGAATCACCGACTTCCACTTTGACCCAAAACTGAGATATGGTTTATATACCAGGTTAGAGAAAGATAGAGCGAACCTGGGATTTTAGCCTGATCTAGTGCATGCAAGACGTGCAGTACACGTTAGAAAATACGCTCACACAAACACCCCCCCCCCCCCCCCCCCCAACAACCACCCACGCATACACCACACATGCATGTGCCCCCCCCCCCCCCCCCCCCTACACATTCACCAACCCATACACCACACATGCATATTGCATATGCCCTCCCCCCCCCCCCCCCCCCAACACACACAGACGAGAACCCCGTACCTTCCTCCGCGTTGCGATCGCGGTCGCGCTGCTTCTGCAAAGCGGCGCCAAACGTGTCGGTGCTCTGGCTCAGCTCAAAGCCACGGCTACCCCGGACACCGCCAGTGGCGCTACCACCATCGGTGCCGTCAATCTGTGCGTATCCACGTGTAGTTCTGCAGTGTGAGAAAGCGACATCCAGCAATCAAGATGGGATCCATGGTAGGAAAGAAGCGACCAACAAAGCAACAACAGTTGAATATCTTTTAAACTTTAAAAGTTCTTGACTTCACTGCGGAATACACACAAACAGCCTACTCTAATACCGTAAGCTACTGTATTGTAAAGTCGTCAAAAAAAGCCGTGGCTTCTATGACTTTCTTGGTGAAAATTTGAAGGCTTCTATATGAGACAGGCTTCTACACAAGACAGGTATTTCTATGTGCCGTAAAGTCGCGGATAAAAGCCGGGCGTATAAGCATATAAGCCGCCTTCTGCATCAGGCTTTAATGCAAACCAGGCTTGTATGCAAACCATGCTTATATGCACCACTGATATTTTTCCCAGGCTTGTATGCACATAGAAGCCAGGCTTCTACGCGCGACACGCATAGATCTACCACTGACTACCGGTATGGCGGCAGTTTTACTATGCACCGTACATAGCGCATGCACTCTTGACCTACCCGATCCGCGCTTGCATAGAAGCCAGGCTTCTACGCGCGACAGGCTTATATGCATTTGACCCGTTTGATTTTCAGGCTTCTATCCGCGATGTGCTTGTATGCAAACCCGGCTTTTATCTGCGACTTAACGGTATGTCAACACTAAAACCAGGCTTATGTGACGACAGGCTTCTATTCAGGACAGGCTTATATATGAGACAGGCTTTAATACAAGACACTACGGTACTTGGACCGGTGCATCTCGGTTTCTTGTGGCGCGCTTGACTCGGCGTTGTGTGTCAAGCTGTCCCATAGTGGGGCTCACTCGTCTGTCTATCGTCTTTCCCACTAGAAATGAAAGTAAACGATTGCCAACAGCCAGTTCCGAAGGGCAATCGACAACGAGTCATTCAGAAGATCACCCTACTTCTGCGAGAGAATGATATTCACTACATATACCATTCAGACAGCCATGGAACAAGTCAACAACGCACAGATAGCGCACTACACTCAGTCCACTCATCGGAAACAGTCCCGCTGGCTTTTGAAAGTCCGATTTGGGCCGAATCGAGGATCACAAACCCACTTTAAATCTCAAAAATCTGGGTTTGGGATCTGCTTCTCCATACATTTTGCCATGGTATACCTGTCCTAATTTTGTAAAACCTAGCTGAATTTCTATTTCCCTGTTCTTCGACTTTTCTGGCCTCAAATGTGGCAAGGAGTAATTGCATGGGTCACACAATGCAGGATGTACTGTTGTTTTCACTATTATCTACAACTATGTGTGGGAGACACCAAAAAGTTAGGGTGCCAGTTTCCAATGAATGGACTGTAGCATACAACAAACCTTGGTTCTGAAATGGCATCATTATCATTACTATGGCACACCGACGCCAAAAAAACGCTGACAGCGCTCCCAGCACACACAATAGAAGGAGAAACACCAGAGAGTACGCAACTATCATCAAGGTGCCGTTCATTAACAACAGGCTCGCGAAGAAGGTTCATCAAGAAGCTAGGTTGTTCAGTAGGGATATGCGTGCTGGCCACTCTTTGAAGGATATGTTGGTTCTGTCCTCGTTCAGCAAGCCACAACGCCCCAGGAAGGCCCAGCAGCAGAGGAAGAGGTGGGCCAGCTGAATGTCGTGCACGTGATGGTAGTTTGAGGCGTGATGTGTGCATGTCCCAGGATGCCGTCTACTCGTTGACATGTGCCGTGCATCAAGAGGAGAATGTCGGCAAAACAGGAAAAAAAAACCCAATGCCCTACAGACACCAATGGACTTCCTGGCTAAGCATTTTGAAGTCGCACAAAATCATGATTATGTAGGTGCACCTGACAAATAATCAGTTGACTGGTCAACTGTGTGATACTCGGATTCGATCGTTACGTACCGTTGAGCGCAGGAACAGAACACAATGGTGCAGATCACCAGTGATAGGCCCATCGTGCCAAGGACGACGACCTGAGAGAGAGAGAGAGAGAGAGAGAGAGAGAGAGAGAGAGAGAGAGAGAGAGAGAGAGAGAGAGAGAGAGAGAGAGAGAGTGAGATAGATAGATAGATAGAGAGAGAGAGATGAATAAATACAAAACTACATGCATGTGCATGTATGCGCAATGAAACACACACACACACACACGCACACACACACACACACACATACACACACGCACACACACACACAAACACACACACACACACACACACACACACACACACTGGTTGTAGAGAACACTGCCAGGACAAACGAGGCGTGCTCCACACAACCTAATAATAATAGCAGCCCGCTTCTTGGCTTTCAGGCTCCCCTTTTTCAATGGCTACTCGCAGTGGCTTTTGTTGCACCAGGAGACAAAGGGCCTTTCTACTTTAACTGGATGCTTTTTTTTCAAACTTTGGAGGTGGGTGCAGGTTTTCGCGCTCTGAGGCTCCCACAGTTTCTCGCCAGGAAACCGGCATCAGGCCGGCCTGGTTTCAAACATTAGGTACTGTAGTGGCAGTAGGAAACTAGATAGACATCTGATAGCCTTGGCTCACCTCCGCCATGCCTCCAACAAGATCTGCCGTTCGCGGGCTGACGGATTCTGAAGTAAAACTGTTGTGCTCCCTCCCCGGGATCGAGTCGTCGATTTTAGATGTAGTAAAAGTCGCTAAAGACGCTGGCAACAATTAGTGACGGAGTCCGCAGACCGCGAGACACGACTAAAGAATAGGATCGATGATTTGTCGAGGCAAATTGAAGGCCTGAACGAGAAGGTTGTTGCCCTCAGGAGTCCGCCAATGCCGCGGCAAGTGCTTCTCCCCCGATTCCTCCAGCAGCTGCCCACAACCAGCACAGCCAGCGTACAATGGAGTAGAACGGGAAGGACCAGCAAGCGTACCCGTACTCATGCAGACGAACACCGTAGCACTTCCCGTAGCGTGGGTGACCCTGGCAGTGACCACGGAACGTCAACCGAGGATGAGGACAAGTCCCAGGCAATGGAGCGGCCCACTGTCAAGCCCAAGCCACTGAAGCTAGAACCAATCACGGATGATACGTGGAAGCTGGTATCGAATGAACCTCACAGAGTGAGAAAGGCCGTAGCTGTCACGACGGGTGTCGTGATTCTATTCCAGCTATACACATATGCAAACCAAGTCATCATAATTATTACTACATGTACAGGAGTCGCGATCTGGCTTCACCTTTTTTTCTCCTCGTTTTTCACTTACATACGTAGTGCCTCGCGAGTTCACCATTCTGGGCTCACACCCAGACCACCGCGTGTCGACCACGACATGACATCCATCTTGTTCTTTTCTGTTGAGTTACTTTTTCCGTTTTCACCTTGGGGCAACAGCAAGTTTCTTCACTCGTGCCATATCACTTCAAATAAACGGAAACTGTTCAATACTCTAGATCCTTGTGCGGTTTGAACTCACCCCTAGCTCTCCCACTGTACCCAACTAAACTTCATTCCGCACAAACTGTTGCCGAAACCTTTCAAACTCGTGTCAAACTCTTCTAGTATTTTTGTTGAATCTCTCCGTTGGAAGTTTCTCCGCTCGTGCCGTTTACAGTTCGAGTCATCCCGGCGAATGACTGTAGACTTTCAGTACACCCGTGGTAACTCCGTAGACTAGTATACAGCCGTATCAGTCATGCCAAAGAAAAGGTTTCTTGGTACTCTGTACCTTCGACGCAGCCGACTACAGAAACTCGGCGCCGTGATCGATGCTTGTATCACCGAAGCACAAGCCCTCGCCAATGCAGCTACATCAAGTGACCACGGGGCCGATGACCCTGACACTCACAGTGACAGTGACCAGCGTGGCTCGGCGCAACCCCGTGACCAGCACTCAAAGCTAAGTACACAACTCCACGTGTTAGAGACTAACGCTCTACCACTGCCCTCGCCTGACAATTCGGACGACCCGGAGTACGTTCCGAACGCCACCCCAGCACACGACCTGGTCACCCTGTGGGCAAAGGGTGAGCGCCTGCTGAATGCCTTCTGGCAACAGTGGCGCAATGAGTACTTGGCGGAACTGCGTGACCGCCATCAGCGACTTCAACAGCGTGGTAGAGCCACCACAGCGGCTCCAGCAGTCGGCTCAATTGTCTTGCTGGCTGATGACGCACCAAGAGCTACCTGGAGGCTCGCTAGGATTGTTGATCTCCAGGTTAGCGCCGACGGTCACATCCGGTCGGCGACAGTCATCACTGCAGACAAACGCCAGCTGAAACGCCCGTTGCGCCTTCTGTATCCTCTGGAATGCGAGGATGTAGCACCCGCCGCCGTTCATTCCGCACAGTAATCTACATGGGCAATCTGAACTCACATAGCAGTGAAGAAAGTGTCAAGGAATTCACTGAGCAACGCTCTGCAGCAGTGAACAAACCGGTGAAGGTCCACCAGTGCAGCATACACACCACAGAAGACGGGAAAGTGTCTGCCCGCTTGATGATCGATGCGACTGATCTTGAAATTGCCACTGCTCCAAACTTCTGGCCTCGCCCACTGTACGCGCGGGTTTGATCTCAGGCCCTTGCAATTTCCCATCATCGTCTTGACTGGCCAATTCCCCCCATTGTCTTCAATGGAACTCCTGTCGAGGAGCAGCCCTCTATTAAAGTACTCGGCGTCATGTTTGACCAACAGCTAAAATTCAGCCAGCATATCCGAACCGTTGTAGTCCGAGCAACGCAGAGACTTGGAGCCTTGCGCAAGGCATTCCACTTGCTGACTATTCCTGCCCGACTTAGAGCCTACAAAGCCTTTGTCCGGCCGGTTATGGAGCATTGCCCAATCGTCTGGATGGGGGCAGCTCCTTCCCACTTGGTTGGACTGGGTGCAGGAGCGAGCCATCAAGGCAATACATCCACTATGCTGGCTTCCTAGCCTCAGGATTTGCCGCACCATCGCTGTCCTCTGCCTCCTGTATAAAGCACTTTGCGATAATTCTCCCGCTCTTCTCTTGAGAATGGCTCCACCCCCGACACACCAGCCCAGGACTACACGCCTCACCCGCCAGGCTGTACGACTATCCACCGCGCATCCCCATCAGTTACAGAATGTTCTTCCTGCAAATTCTCGGAACAATGGAGCTGAGCCTTTCCCCACTCCGTCATCCCCTTTTGGAACCAGCTGCCTGCCTCTATCATTCCCCACCCATTTCACCCAAAGAACATCCAACAATTCAAGACAGCAGCTTATCACCATCTCCTCAGAACGAACTGGCACTGAGCCACTCATAGCATACGCGAGTAAGAGGGTACAGTGTCCTAACCTGCTTGGACATAATCTCTCCTTACAGACAGCTCCTCTTGAATTTAAAAGTCTAACAGTGTTCGGACCAAATGGATCCCAGCACTGCAAGCCGGTATACAAGCGTGCCAAACCTGGGCTCGAGCTAGAGGAGGCGAGTTTTCCCCATCGAAAACCTCTGTCATCAGCTATTCCTACAAGTCAGTATCGCCGTCCACAGCTGCAGCATACCAAATAGATGGGGCTCCTCTCAACGGTACCGATGTGCTGAAACATCTGGGAATTCGCTTCACCGCTAATCTGAACTTCCACCAGCATTACATAGATATGAGTGGAAAATTCAAACAGAGAATTAAGTTGCTCTGTTACATGGCCCAGCGCCGTACTCCCAAAGCCATGATGCTCCTTTACAAGAGCTACGTTTGACCCGTTATAGAGTATGGTGTTATGGTGTGGGCGTACCGGCTACCTGCGTCTGATTTGTGTGAGCTAGACAAACTCCAAGCAAGATTCATCAGGTCGTACTTGCGACGGCGTAAGTTTCGATTTGCCTTCGACACACCAAAGCAAGATCTGAACGCATTCGCCAAACTAGAATCACTGCAGTACCGTAGACAATTCATTACCGTAAAAGTCCGTAAATAAGTACCTGCCCGAAAGGAGTACCCCCTTCATTCTTTTGGCTCTGTCTGTTGAAGTCAAGTGAAGCCCGATAAACATACTGCCCGAAATAAGTACCGGTACGATGCGCACATGCAGCACGTAGCATGTACATCGACATGAAAATGACTTCTCCACTACACACGAGTCAGGTCCGAAAGTTAGTTTGTGCCCGAAAGTCAGTACCCGCCCGAAAGTTAGTACGGGTGTGGTCACTAAATTCGAAAGTAAATACGTACTTATTTACGGACATTTACGGTAGCCTAGTTACATTGCACAAGTTTATTTTCAAATACCGGAACACCTTGGCTCAGTTCAGTTTTAATATTTCCCGGAGTGAGAGACGCCCCAATAAAATTATCCTCCCCAAAGCCTTGACAACATCCAAACCACTTTTTTTATTCAAAACCTCCCTTTTATGGAATAGTCTTCCACCCACATTGACTTCGGAATCTTCTGGTCATGTATTCAAGAAAGTGCTGCGCAAACATTCTTGTCAGTATTCAGGTCTACTCGCTGGCATGCCATTACCCTGTTCATCGTAGCCCCCCCCCCCCCTTTCCCAATCTGTACTCTCTTGTACCATCATCCTTCAATGCGACAGACCCCACGATAGGCGGTCAGCCTTTGGGTCATCCTAACGAGAGAGCTTGGAAGCTCAGGGCCCTACGCTATGCTTTTTTGCCTTGATGACCTAGACAAAAAAAAAAGCATAGGGATGTTTAATAAATTCTTTAAAAAATTCCGTTTTTTAAGACATAACCTGGGATTCGAACCCGCACTATCGCACGCCCTGCATGCATCCCCCGATACACTTCGCATGCATACTAATTCTTCCAAGTTGTTTCACATTGTGATCTTGCATTTGAAAGCCCTATTTGAATATGCATTGTGGCCAGCCGTCTTTGATGGCACGGTACGGTAGGGGATAGGTACGGGACAGGTACGATCGAGGGTAATACGACACCGTCTCCCGTACCGTACCATCAAACACAGCTGGCCACATACAGCTGCCCGCAATATTCAAATAGGGCTTTCAAACGCAAGATAATAACGTAAAGCAACTTGGAAGAATGGGTATGAATGCGAAGTGTATGGGGGAATGCATGTAGGGCGATAGTGCGGGTTCGAATCCCAGGATATGCCTGAAAAAAATAGGAGAATTGAAAAATTTATAACATCCTATGCTTTTTTGCCGTCAGATACGGATAGCGCCAGGCGTGACACAAACAAACACACAAACAAACACCAAATTAAAGCTGTGTGGACCCTGGCTAGCGCCAGACGTTACTGAAGTAACGTCTTCTGCATAGCTACGGGAATAAAGTTATTATTATTATTATCCACCGATTTGAACGCAGCAGTGCTTAATAATAAGAATAACAGTGTTCATGCAAATACTCAACTTTTGCTCGCTGAGCAATACAATCTTTTCATTTTCTTTCTTCTGTTTTCTTTTTCAACTTAATCCTCCCTACCCGATCCCCCTTTGGTGAGTCCATGGAGTGTGAAGCCGAGACCTCTGGTCGGCTGAGCTTAATGGGCCCCACCATCACACTCCATTATTCACCCCAGTGTCTGGAGATAATGTGGATTTTGTAAAAAGAAAGAAAGAAGAAAACACACACACACACACATGCATGTACGCATACACACGCACACATGCATGTACACACGTATACATACTTAATCTCCGGACAGCTAGCATGCACACACGTACGCGCGTGCACACACACACACACACACACGCATGCACAGGTACGCGCACGCACACACACACACACACACACACACACACACACACACACACGTACACCTCAGACCTCAGACATGTCTATTGCGGAAGCAATGATAGCGAACAGCTATGTTAGACATAGCAACTTGTGCTGGGATTACACCATTCAACAGCTTGCAAGGCTGATGAATTGACCGCCACTAATTTTTAGCCTGGTATCCACCACACAGCTGATTGAAGTGGCTTTTTCTGGCCAGTGAATCCCTATTTTTTAGTTTTCAGTTTTTCCCTCACACACACACACACACACACACACACACACACACACACACACACACACACACACACACACACACACACACACACACACGCACACACACACTTATCTATGCCGAGAGTTCATTCTAAGAAACTATGTATCTCGGTGGAGACATCTCATCCTTCATTTACTTGCAGACTGAAACAACTACAATGTAGCTACGTTGTGTACTGCTGAAAAATTAACAAGAAATATCTAGTTTCCACCGTATAACCCACAAGCTCTAAGGGTCAAACAGGTGCATAAATGGATAGAGTATAATACTCATGACGCAGGTGTTCAGCCGGACATCAAACCTACCCATACGTGCGTGCGAACATACTTGGCAGCTTCTCTTACACCGTCTTCGCTCGCACCCAGCCTATCTGAAGAGGCGTGAGCGAGCTCTGCAGAGAGCAAAACGTTTGCTGCCAGTAAAACTAGAAACGTCCACTTGTTATTCATGTTGACCGGTGTCCCTGACCGTCGTTGAGGCGCACTGTCAGCTTCGCTACAGGCTAGCTCCTTCTACTTCAGCAGTCAATTCAGAGTGAGGCAAACCTCATTCCTGCACTCACAGCATAGCTGCCTAGGCCAAAGGAACATTCACTCACAACTCATATCAGCCTGAACACATCGGATTTGAACAAGATTTTGAAGAAAGCATGCAACAAGTCGGAACAAAAAGTCAAAGTACAAAAGGACACACACAACGACACATGTTTGGATCTGTCATGTGACGCAGGTGACGCCCGAACATGACATCATACCGGGGAAGCCCCTTCGGCTTTCCCGGCGCAGGGCCTTGAAATAATAATTTGAAATTTCCTGCTGCATCTCTTTCTTTCATTCACATGAGTCGGGCTAGCAGGAAGGATTGCCAGGCAGAGCAGGAGGGATGCAAGGAGCTCTGGAGGAGGGTTGTCCTATGTTTCTGCGTATCGCAACCTTTACTCCTGGGCAGTGGGCAGCGTGATCTTCACCGATATTGAAGACTTGCCCTTGGTCTTAGTCTCAATGTAACTGCTGCAATTATCATAATTCACTGCGTGCCCCATGACTCCGTAACGTATGGCTGGACTCGCCGGTACAGACACCATATCATTTCGGGACGACCCCGTGGCCTTGGAAGAGGTCCTCGCGGGCCATGACCTCGTGCGGAGTCGCTCCGATGTGGCGGCCCGCTATCAAACTCTGTACGAGAGTGCGATGAAGCACTTCAGCGCCATGAAGTAAGTCAGTGGCTGGTTTTGAGTAGGACTCCCTGGTGACTGCTACTGTATTACAGCCCAGGCCATATGATATCCCACACGGAGTAGTATAGTAGTGTTACATGTACATGTAGTATCCGTCCCTTGGTGTGTGTGTGTGTGTGGGGGGGGGGGGGGGGGGGGGAATAGGTTGATCGTACGTGAATACAGGTATCCGCTACTTGTAAGGTGGGGAGTTGTGTGGGATCCGGGGAGATGGCACGAATCCATGGTACCTAAAACGACGTGCGTTGCGGGCCCCTGATCTGAAAGTTCGACGTAATCTGTGGTCTAATATACAGCCCGCGGTCGCAAGGCGACGCCTTGGTCTGCTGGCCCCAAACGCGGCCTAGGCTAGCAATGCCAGCTGCGAGGGTGTACAGAGCAGCCCTGCCCCAAGGGGCGACAGGAACGGGCAGCCCGGGAGCGAAACCCACATCGTTTCTCATGTTCCCTGCAGCCGCATGTTCCCTGCAGCCGCATGTTCCCTGCAGCCGCATGTGCCCTCTCCTTAAAATAAATATATGCTGCAACTCCCTGACGTTCACCGCCATTGCAGCACAGCTCTGATGCGGCCATTCACACGTATGCCAACCCAACACTGACAAGTAGATTTGAACTGCTGAGCAATATCAGCCAATAGAGGTTGTGTGATGACATCATCATTTGAGACGCTTCGGCAAAGCCGTGGGCCGTGGCGCAGCGATACACTAGGTCAAGCGAAACGGCCGACTCGCACTGTTTACTTAGCTCCCGTAAGCGGCTCCACTGACTCACCCTGTATACAGCAGGGAGTAGTAAAATACCGGTATTTTACTACTCCCTGTTGTATACTAAGCACCCATACGCGGTCCCGTTTGTTCACCGCCATGCCATCCTTTGTATAACCTCTATGCTGGACTAGCACAGTGTACTGTGCAGTCACCTATGTAGTTAGCAAAGTCATTGACAGAGGCGTCACACCCGGTACGACCAACACGACCATGGTCGTACCACTTTTTGTCCAGGATAATCCGCCCGGCTGGCCAGCTCTGTAGAGCGCTAAAACGTGCCATGTTGGCCGAAAAATCCGATTTTTCTCCCCCGCGGACACCCCTGGACCCTAATCATCCCACTCCCCACTGCCCCGTGACGCCTCTGATTGAGAAGTACGTAACTTACTTGACTGCCCTGGCATGCTGATTGGATGGTGGCATGGAAACGGTCACATGACGCGAGGCTATTGTTTCATGATGATGAGTTTGAATCCATGCTCACGTTGACTGTTTTCCTGCCTGCTGTGTCCGTTTCGACAGGGAAGTGAACAAGTTTGGTCGGCATGACTGGCGCAGCGTGTTTGGAGAAACATTCAGAGTATTTGCCGAGGTGAGCACTGGATGATTTGATGATTCCATGGGCTTGATCACGTTCGTTGAGTGATACACTCATTGCACGATGAACCCCCATGTGCCCTTTGCTTTCAATGCATTTCAAGTTTCATCCACGCTGAACAAATTCGAAGACATTCGAAATAAAACGAGTATGCATCACCAATATTAGAATTTGCCCGTTTGTATGCCACATGCATGACTGTGTGTGTGTGTGTGTGTGTGTGTGTGTGTATGTGTGTGTGCGTGTGTGTGTGTGTGGGTGGGTGGGTGGGTGGGTGTACATGTGCGTGTGTATGTTTCTGTCTATTAACTTTCTTTGTTTGTGTCCAGCTCTGGGAATACCTGAAAGAAAACATGTGAGTATGCTATGTGATGCTGATCGTTGACCCTGAGCTATGTTGAGATCTGCTTTGGCCGTGGTATGAGCTGACATTGATGTTGCTGTTATGTTACACAAACCCATCCAATCCCTGCTTTTGTCCACTATTCTGTGCTATGTGGTTGTTATGCAGGGTGTCCCTTAGGCACAGTGGACTGCTGCAGTCCTATCGCACTGCTGACGTCGCATCCAAAATCGGCCAAATGTTCTACCACTCCTAGTAAGTAGTAGGGTTGTTTAACTGTGCTGTTGTGAACTCGGGCGATTGGGACTGCTGAAGGAGTAGAGTGTGGAGAATTCATATTGCACCTCGTATGGTGTTTTCTTCTTTGTCGCCGCCACCACCGCTGCCACCGCCGCCACCACCACTACCACCATACACCATGTGCATGCCCTTTGTGTGTGTGTGTGTGTGTTTCTGTGTGTGTGTCTGTGTGTGTGTGTGTGTGTGTGTGCGTGTGTGTGCATGTGTGCGTGCATTCGTATGTATGTGTACATATGTGTTTGCATGGTGTCTGTGTTCACGTGCGTTCACGTGCATTCATGTGCGCACACGCACGTGTGTGTGTGTGTGTGTGTGTGTGTGTGTGTGTGTGTGTGTGTGTGTACACTTATGTGTGCATTGTGCCCTCTCTCGCACAGTGTACTATCCAGTGATGTAGAGTATCTTCACCAGGCTTACTGGTTTTACTCAGCAGTGCGCTACAGCAGCAGCAGTACGGACACTGATACATCGGAGCTGCACAGGTAAAAACAAATACATATGGAACAGGGTATGACATCAGTTCACACCTAATTATATTTGCGCAAGTCAAGTTTTAATGCTATCAGTATGTTTGTGAGAGTGTCGACTTGACAAGGAAATGTGTCCGCTTTCAAACTGGCGCTTTGGCACCGACATTACAGATGTTATGCGATTACATCATCATCTGAGGTCAATCGTATTGAGTGGCAAAACTAGGGAATCACAGGCATTGGTTTGCCACTCATTATTAGGCAGCGCATGTGTGTTGAGATGTCACTGGTTGCCACTCAATACAATGCATATTCGATGATGTCATTCACTGGTTGCCACTCAATACAATGCATAACGTTATCCGATGATGTCATTCACTGGTTTGCCACTCAATGCAATGCAGATGCAATGATGTCACCTACATACATGTAACTTCCGTGGAAAGTGGCTGCATCGTAGCTGTACTGCCCCTATGCATGATGTGAGTATGTAAACTTGTGCTCTTTATCTGTTTCTTGTCTGTAGCTCTCACCTTCTGCTGATGCGTATGCGCTACTTGGCACGCTTTCTCTCGGTCGCCTTGCTTCTCGGCCGATCGCGAGTTCTAAGTGAGCTTGTCGAGGTGAGATTGACTTTTAGCGCCAGGGCTGTTTAATTCCTTGATTTGCAGTGGACCACACTACTTGATTATAATGAAAGTAGCGTACCGAGAAAATAAAACAGAGAATTACATAATTATTATGTAATTCTCTGTTTTATTTTCTCGGTACGCTACTTTCACACGACGTGGAAATCTTGGCATTGGCGTGTCGTGTATTGGTGCGTTTGTAGTATAGTGAGCCATGAAGGCACCGTAGCCGTTTGCTTCATCATGAACGTCTTCCCAATCGGTGGCCATCTCCAGGAAACCTCCTTCATGCCGACCTCGGATATAACTACAACTGGCCAATACTGGCAACGGCGACACTTATCTTTATCGCCGTGGTTGGCTGTCACCCACTCTCTTCACATTGGCCGGTGTTTCCACTGAGTCCTGAGATGTAATAAATATAAATAAAATCTTCAGAGCTGTAGTAAGCATTTCACTGTATAGATTTTAGCACCATGAATAACAGCACTTTTGTCATGCCCGACTGAGGGTCATTATTCGCTAGGTGGACTGTATCCACTATCTGTGCACATGGTACTTTCTGTTGGTTCTGTTGGCACCTTTTCTGCAGAAACTGGAAAAGCAAGTGACCATCTACAATACACTGTACCCAGGATCACAGGATGCTAGTGATTGGCACAACACAGCCGTGGAGGCACGCTCTATGCTGGAGGTAATACGCTGGCTTTGTTCTCGCCTGCAGACTTGATTGGCGGCACCGGTTTGTACAATTTTGTGCATGCCATGACGAATTGAAGTAAACTCATACCTCGGTTATCCGGACACCGAAGTTACGGGCACTTCGGTCTACCGGGCATCCTTTGGGCTAGCCCTAGCGTAAATAGTATGTTACTAGATACTACGTTTGTTTGTTACACACACACACACACACACACACACACACACACACACACACACACACGCACACACACACACACACACACACGCGCACACACACACACACACACACACACACACACGCACTTTTAGAGGAAATAGTGACATCACATGCCACGCTAGCCTGTGGGTTTGCACTATGTTCTTGCAGGCCCTAGAGCTCGTTCAGGTCCCGTCTCGCGACATGCTATTGGAACATCGACTGGTAGTAAGTGTGTTGTTCTTGCAAAATGGCTCTGCTCTAGTTGAGTTTAAATAACCGACGAGGAGACAACAGTCGTAAAATAGCAATGAAAAATATCAATTGTGCACTCATAACCATGTATAAACAATTAAAATGAAACAATTCCAGAACGTTTTCGTGTGACCATCATCAGTGGAACATCGTCAGTAAGATTCGTCACATAGTAAGAATCACTAAAACAACCAGTTATATAGCTAGAGTAATATGAAAAGAAGCGTGAGAATGCAGCACAGCTAGCGATTATGCATAACGCGTGTAGTGTGAACCTTTGCAGTGTATCTGAGAATGGTAGCAGTAGATGAATGTGGCAGCTGTGAGTGCGTGTGAACAAAAACTGGTGAGTGCGTATTATTTAAAAAGTGTGAGTGCTACAACATTTTCTTTTTGCTTGCATAAAACAGGGTCACGTGTGCGAATATATACAGCTTCCAACACCTGCAACTGCTTAAAGAAACGCGCGTGACAAATAACACTAAACCAGGAATCGTCAAACAACTTACGACAATCCGGACTGGACACCAAATGCTTGTAGATGGCAGACTTGCTCTTGTCGATGTCGAACTCCTCCTCGTCCGTATCACTCTCATCCTCCACTTCCTGTTCCTGCTCACCCTTGCTTTCCTCCTGACCATCCTGTTCATCCCCATCATCATCATCCTCCATCTCCATCTCCTCATGCCATCGCTTCTTTCTCCTTGACGTGTTCACTGCTGCGCCCGTACTTTCACCTGCCACTACTGGTTCCGCCTTCTCAGAAAATGTTGTAGCACTCACACTTTTTAAATAATACGCACTCACCAGTTTTTGTTCACACGCACTCACAGCTGCCACATTCATCTACTGCTACCATTCTCAGATACACTGCAAAGGTTCACACTACACGCGTTATGCATAATCGCTAGCTGTGCTGCATTCTCACGCTTCTTTTCATATTACTCTAGCTATATAACTGGTTGTTTTAGTGATTCTTACTATGTGACGATGTTCCACTGATGATGGTCACACGAAAACGTTCTGGAATTGTTTCATTTTAATTGTTTATACATGGTTATGAGTGCACAATTGATATTTTTCATTGCTATCTTGTTGAGTTAGTCTATATTGATGAATGTTTGTACATGTATGCCCTTTTTACGGGTGATCTATTGCTCGGTGTGTGTGTGTGTGTGTGTGTGTGTGTGTGTGTGTGTATGTGTGTGTGTGTGTACGTGAGTGTGTGTGCTACCTTTCTCCTGACGGGCACGGCGCTGAATCTGTGGCATTTCTCACAAATCAACCGCTTTGTGATGGTAAATTTCCGCGGCTTTCTGCAGCACAAGGATGTGTGGCTGTCTGCGGAGAGTTACCCAGTGTACACACTAAATGTGACTAATGCAATGAAGGGAACGAAAACGTTCGGTAACTAAATTGCCTTTACTTGACTGTGTGGATTGTGTCGGTGCTGACAATTTTTTCCCGAAATTGGATACACCTCCAATTTTTTCAATACAATGTCATACTGGTATGTGCTGTGATTCCGCACAGCTGACTCCGCACTATGTCAGAGCGGCCGGCTCGCTGTCCCTGGATGAAGCCATCCTAGTGTCGTGCACACACAGACAGGTATGCATGCACTCAGAGAGTGCTGATGCCGGGGGGCATATGCACTCCATCAATGCTGCTGGTTTGTTTCTCTCGATATTTTAGTCTTACTTCGAAGTGATAGGATCAAACGAATTTGAACTCGGATGGTGAGCCAATTTAACGTTTTGTCCTTCTCCTTTTTTCCCATGATCAAACAATTATTCATTATTCTTTCTGTTTTACAGTAGATTCTTCTGGTCAAGGGTTCTGTGTGGACTTTCTGAACACCTTTTGGTGCTAACGAGGGCAGATCATCAGAACTCCTTGTACTACAGCAGAATCCTGACCTTTGCTGTTGTGATGTCGATTTCAAGTCTCCTGCGTGAGCATGCGTGCAATCTGCAGATCACGGAGAGTCCTGGTTTGCTCACTTGTTGCTGCTGTGCCCTGGCTGCCTTTTTTCTGACGCCTGCACAGGCTCGGTTTAGTCAGCTGACACTGGATATGCTGCGCATGGTCTACACGCTGGAATTGCAGACCACTGATCGGCACGCGCCGCCTCACGTCAAATTCGAGCAGGCTGGCTTGCCACCTCGGGTAAGCGCTCGAAGCAGAAGATGAATGGTGCTAGCTCTGGGAACGGGTGAGCTCTGGGTGAGCTTTGGGAGAGTAATCCAGATCTGTATAAAGTGGCCAGTCGCCGCCTGTCTCTATCAAGGCCGGTTTTCTATGCAACAACCTGGGATGGTCTCCAGATACGGCCTGTAGTGCACTCCTATGGTTGTGTGCAAATAGCATTTCGGCCTTTGACCTCTGGTTGGTGGATCTGATGTGCTCTCCCTCACCGTTAGGTGCATCTGACGCTTGATCATGGGGGTGGTGACGTCCCATGGAAGTGGAGAGGTGGTTCTCCACCCGCTCTGTATACGGATTCGTAATATTCATTCTAATATGCTATCTGATGAGTGTTTTGACACGAAACTCGGAGTAACAGCGGAACTTGTTTGATTCATTGCTGTGTAATATTTGTATTCTAATATGTGTGTGGTATGGCTTGGTTCGCTTGTGTTGACGTATCTCTTTGTTCCAGGTGGTCGGGCATGACCGAAGACCTGTGGTTAATCCGCGCAAGTGCCTTCTGCACCGGCCATCCGTGCCTGAGCTACTTGCCGAGCTCTCTATCATCATGAAGGTGAGGCCATACTAGCTCTGTGTGGGAGGAACAGGTAATCATGTCTGTTTTATAAGTTTCAGACCGGTTTGGGGCAGATTAAAAAACTTGGCCATACAAGTTGGGAGTAACAAATGATCATGTTCATTGTTCAAGTTATATGAAGGGCTCTTTCTCAGTTGATTAATGAATTTGGTGTTGCCGGTAAACGTTTTCGGATCATTGTGGTCTAATGTGCTGTCAGCTTTTGCTTTGTTTTCTCTGGGTAGAGGTGTATTTGTGCCTCTGTACAACATGCATACTGTAATTTCACAAATTTTCGGTGTACTTTTATTTTCGGTACTTTCGGTGCGTCTGTTTCATACCTAGAATTTCAATACACCGAACAAACACTAACACACATAATCCAATAGGGAACTGCTTCTCTGTACCGAAAATTTCTGTTCACCTAACCTAGCCTGGCCTGTTGCCCTCATACCGAAAATATTGAGCACCGGAAAGTTCTGAAATTAGAGTATTTATTTTTCTCCGTTTGAATATGTTCTTGTTTTAGGATGTGTCACCAAACGGCATAACGCTGTTGTACTTCTCCTGTAACAGCACGCGCAGCTTTGATCGATCGTCCAACGCACCGTCAACACCGACACGCTCCAGAGGTTTGTACACCTAGTGCATTGGCGGGGCATGGTGTTTTGAAATTGCACTTGAACTCGCTTAGTACGCACTCTGATGAAAAGGCAGGTCATACTCAGTCGGTCCGCTGCCATTAGGCGTATGTCTGAGTATTTTGATTTCCACTTCAAATACAGTACTGTAAACAGCCTAATGTTTGCGACGTACTAATTCATGTTTGCTAATTTTGCGAGAAGAGCATAATGCAAATATTAGCCATCGCTAAATCAAACCTCAACAGTGGGTGTATATGCGTTGCCATGATGCTCCGCGAACCTTTGCCATTGTAAACTCGCTGGTTCTGAGAGATCGCAAAAATTTCGTGACGCAAACATTGGGCGCTTTACAGTATACAGCACCTCTTGCTTAGTTCAGACATTGTTCAGAGCATGGGTGTATTGATCCATGCTGAAGTACGTTGAGATAAGAAGTACCATCTCGGATACTGAATGCACTTTCCTGCTACCCATGGGGGTACGTTTCGTCATAGTTCTAATGTATTTCAGTTCTGAATGCTTTGACTGCTCAGGAAAGTTCTTGTGACTGTTTTCATAGTACCGTTGTGGATATGGAAATTCGGTCGGAGGGCAAGCGGCCCCAGGGCGCTGACCATGCAGCCGTGAGTGCGCAAACGATCAACATGTGCACTGTGCATGCAGCGTTCTGTGCGGACTGAGGGCGCCGGCCCCGGTCAATCGACTGGATTTCCACGTCCACGACAGTACATGCACCAATAGGTATTTTGCGGCAGGTAAAATCACTCAGAGACCGACTGTCTATACTGCCCTAACTCTTTGGGACCAGTTGTTTGGCTTGTGCGGTGTGGCCTTGGTTTATGAACACACCTGTGTTCATGGACGGTGATGTGTTGGCATGCGTTTTCTTGGCTATTGTGCATCCAGTCCTAGTAGGCTTACAGTTGCCTGCGTATGCATGCAGGATGCTGGTGTGCCTCTTCCACAGCTGTCTTCATTGCTGTACATGGTGACTGTTGCTGTGTTGTTACTGTGTTATCCTTTCCCTCACTGCCGTATCACTCTTCGCATGTGCATACTAATGTCGATACTAATCATGTACGAAGCTGCTCAATGAAATCTGATCGAGCGAGTCAAGAAGGCACGGGGCGCTGCGCAGCCCAACTGTAGACCGGAGAGCGCTGGGACTTTCACGTGTAGTACAGGGCGCAAAGCTGACTCACTGGACCGGATTTCATTGAGCGGCAATGCGCTGTGTGTTTTCCGGAGTATATGCCGCTCTCAGATCTTGTTGTCACGAAACACAGACATTTACCCTGTATATCACGGTTCATTTGGCCATCGTGGTACAGGCCGCGCCGAAATTTTTTGGGGTGAATTACGAGTGTTTGAATTGCGGCTTATACTCCAGGGAAGGGTAACATGGATGCAGTGAATGGGATTTTCGGTCTTTGACCACTTTGTGGTGGGTCTGATCTACTCACCTCCCACCGTTTAGGCACTGCATCTGCGCCTTGATCCTAGAGGGTGGTGGCGTTCCTACGGATGCGGAAAACTGCGAACCGTGAATTTTTTTATTATACTCCGGAAAATACGCTATGTTCTATTTTCTGTGACCGTGTCCTATGCTGTGTATGTGTAGATGTTGGTCATCCGCCAGTTGGACTGTCGTTGCGTTCAACGGCGGGTAATTCGTCCGCACCCGAGGACAAGTACGTCATCGCTCTGTTCTTGTGCACATGCTTGCTGTTTTGGTGGCAGTATGCTTGGCTGCTCGCACGCACGCACACATGCATGCATACACACGCGCTCGCACGCACACATGCATGCATGCATACACACGCACATGCACGCGCGCACACACACAAGCTGATGGTTACAGTTGTTTAAGCAGGAGATTCCCACTATTGTGCGCCCGGCGCTCCTTTCCCAGACATATGCGTGTTGGCAATTCATTGGAGAACATGTCCTAGCCACGATTTCGCAAAGGCAGGTTTGCCAATATAGGGACTCACTGATGGTGTGATGGGCTGCTATATCCAGATTGTAAATCGAGAGCATGTCTCAGAATTATGAAGACATAGTCACAGAAGTTGTCCTCATTTTTTAAAGTTTTGGTCAGACTTTGAGACTCTCCTCTGTTGCCTGGCGTCTGCTCACTACATGTACTCTGCACAGCCTCTACCCGTCGGATCTAACGGTATTCACCCGTAAGCCTTTGTTCCTGATCATCGACAGCGATCAGACATCAACCTTTGAGGTACAGCCTTATTTCGGCATGCAAGCTCCCATATCTGTGTCTGTTTTTTGTCTTCGAGCAAGAGCTTGATTCTCCAAGTGATGACACCCCAGCAAATGTCCAGCTGGAATATCCATCATACACATCAGTTGATAGGCGAACCACACGACAGGAAAAAGTCGTTCTTCTGCTCTACCGTTCGGGCTACATGCTGTTGTCTATCTCTCTGGCATACAGACCAACGCATATGGCCGATTGGTTTGCAGGCCTGCCTGCGAATCATGAGGTCCCGAGTTCGAGACCCGCGCTGGCAGCAGGGAGCGTGTAAAAAGACTTTTTACGCGTGTTGAACTGCGCCGAAACCCACGGTCAACTGGGTACTCACAGCTCGAGTGAGGATAACAAGGATGCAGTTTACAGGGTTATGGACCGTTACACGCCCGATTGGTTGAGAGACTCACCTCCTCTCCCCTGACTCACTTGTGAGGTCTGCATTCGCCACTAAGGTGTAAAGGCATAGTGGTGGCCTGCGGAAGCGAAGGCTATAGCTTGTGTGTTTCTGAACATTCAAGTGATGCTAACGCGGATCCCGCGAATATTATTATATATATACGATCGTAGGTAGCCGGACCGCTTGACAGGAGCATGACTCGATTTGTCAGTATATACATTTTTTCTGATATTGTGTGGTTCGGTTGCTATCTACAGGTGTATGTGTGGGTGTGGGTGGGTGGGTGGGTGTGTGGGTGGGTGGGTGTGTGGGTGTGGGTGTGGGTGTGGGTGTGTGTGGGGGTGGGTGGGTGGGTGAGTACTAGTAGGTGGGTGGGTGGGTGTGATGAATTTCTAGCTGGACCTGCCACTGGTGTGTCACCGTTTGGAGAATCAGGCTCTTGCTTGTGTGTCTGTCCGTTTGTTGGTCTTCGTCTACCGCATGTTATAGGTTATAAATTGACCTCTTATGACCTAGAAACGAACTAAAAATAGGGGAAGTCGACTTACAACCGGGGTGTAATCACTACTAACCGGGAAATCGAGGTCCCAAGTGCGGGGATCACCGCTTTTTGTTTTGGATATCTATTGATATCTTCCTTTCGAGCACTCAGGCAGTGTTTGCATTTCTTTATAAATGAATGCTGTGTTGCATGGGCATGGGCATGTGAGCCATTGCAAGGAGATAGGCTTTGGTTCAATAAGCTGCACTGAGGAGCATTTCTACTCGCAGATTTGAGTACATGTGTTTATTATATGCGTGTGTATGCTGCAGTCCTCAAATATGTGGGCATCAGCTGCTTCCCTGTCCAATTAGGTTTCTTCGGCACGGCTAAGATAGTCGGAGGCAGGTATCTTGGAAATGACTCATGCCTCCATGTAGCACAGCATTTTACCTACTGTCAACCTCGTGAATAAACACTTCGGGTATAACAATAACTCGCGGGTAATGGCACTATCTTAAGACCCAAGTTAAAATCCGAGACCCAGCAGCCATTTGACTGCCTACTTCCAACCTCTCAAATGACCACAACTTACAAATAGGAACACTTTTCTGGTGCTCGATAGAGGGTCGTTAGTAGCTAGGTTGGCAGCATCGGTCAGCCTCCCCTCCCTCCACCGCTGTTGTGAAAGGCATACCATGGCCATCAAACTGTCATGCTTGGACTACGTACATGCAGTTTTGAATTAGTTGGGTTTTCAACAATTTTATTATAAATTCGTGTGGGGTTGTTCACTTGGCAGGCAGTGAAGAGCCCATTTCATCAGCCGTTCGTGTCTCTGTTGGCTGCGTCACGTCTCCCAGAGGACTTCTCCGGTGAGTCCCGAAGGATTGTAGAGGTGTATACTGTAGTAGAGATAGTAATGCTCTACTGCAGATGAACAGCGTCTGAAGTCTGTTTGCTTTCTGTTGAAATTCGTACGTTACCTTCTTATTGAAATTTGGTGAGGATGTGCTCCATCATCCAGTATTGTTCACCTGTGTTTAGCGACGAACCCAGGGTGCAAAGACAATCGATCTTTGTAGGGTGGTAGTCCACTTTAAAGACAGGTCAATATGAGTGTTCACTGTTGAAGCATGGCACAGGGCCTGGCATGAGTTGATCCAGGCCCTGTAGACGAAGGCTGCGGTTGCACTGCACAACTTCTGGGTGACCAGCTGGAATCTGTTATGCGTTTTCCGCACTGTTCAGCTGACTGTCCGGTCACACTGCGCTCTCAGCACCAGCAGCATGGCTGAGGCCTTGTGTCACTTTTGTGATACCGGCTCATCAATGAATTAGTTCCACCTCCATTACCTGCGCTCTCTGGCCGACGTCATTCACACCAGCGGCATGACTCCAAGTGTGAATGAGGTAAGTCAGAGAGCGCATGTGCTGGAGGCGGAAATACCAGTTCTTGTTGCTTTTACGAGACGCGCATCATGATCTCTATAAAGTGACGAGCGGTACCATTCGGCCATTCAATCATACTATGCTCCTCTACTTTTAATGGCTACCGAGGGTAGCAGATAGTCGGCTAAAGAGCGCTGTACTTTTGAAGTACTTGTAGGGAAACATTGCATAGCATGATCCCGAATCAACTTCATTGCACGCACATGACAAGTAACTTATTTATGGACCACCCCTCATGGAACACTTAATGTCAGTGGTCTCATATTTGTGTTTGTTGTGTGAGTGCATTTGCGTCCACTCACTCTCATCATTCCACTAGCTTGCTGCAGATTCATAAATCCATAGAGGTTGGTGTTATTCCTACAGATACAGAAAACTCGGCCTCCAGCCTCGTATCCCGCGAACTGTGATTATTTTTATTTATTTTTGCTGCTGCAGATTACCAGCTGAATGGTCGTCTGCTGACGCTGTTTCTAACGTGCCCGCTGACCGCTTTCTGTCACGTGTGTAACTTGGTGGACGTGACCGAGTCACTGTGGACGGCGGCATGCCGGGCGATGACCGCGGCCGCCAGCACCATCCTGGACTGCCTGCGCGCATCCAGTCAACTAGGTGAGCCCGCAGCACCCAGGCACGTAGCTCGTGTATAGTCAACGTACAGTCGACTCCACTTATAACGAACTCGCGTATAGCGAATTTCGTGATAATATAACGAACCATTGTCCATGTCCCTGTTTGAACCTGTACGAAATTGACCCTTTATAGCGAACGGTTTTCGTTTATAACGAACCAAATCTTGTAGGGCTGCATGTAAACCAAGTGCAGTCATACTGTCATGGGGCACATGTCAGTCATGATTTGCTGCTTTTATACTGTGGATGCATCTGTTGTAACGAACTTCGGCTATAAAGACCTAAATTCTCCTGCACAATGGTGTTCGTTATATCAGGAGTCGACTGTAGGCCGGTCAGCACACCACAAAAATGGCCGTCATGCGTCTGTTCTCCTTCTCTACGTGTGAAAGTTCTTTTGTTTCCCCGGGAAACGTTTTATATAACAGTTATCAAGGAAGTCTGTGATTGAGGGGAGAAACTAAAGGAAATGCGAAGGAATCAAGGAAGACGGGTTATAGCGGAGATGAGAAGGAAAAGTGCAGTACAATGTAATATAAATTTCATATCCTCTATGTATGTATGTCTATGTTCATGTGCAAACTAGTACACGTATAGTCGTAATCAAGACTTGAAGTACAGAACACCGTTGGCATGTGGGCACTGCTCGGATTTGACACCGTGGAGCTAATTATTTGCCCTGCCGCACATTGACATCGTGCTGTGGTCTACCTCGCTGTGCTTTGTATGTTTGCACAGATGCTGACTTGTGCCTGTTCCTGGACGACTTCTTCACTCGTACTCTGGTGTGCCGCTTTGTCTTCTGCCAGGTGGTGTTCAGGCATCACTACGCTTTCCCTGTAAGCTCTACTTACACTCTCGGGCAGCCTGGAACCTCTCTGTTTTATAAGCTCTACTTACCGTATTTTCGGCAATACTGACCAAGGCGCTTAGTAGTTTGCGAGCTGTAAAGTTTCTCCCAATTTGAAAACAAATCGACACAAAATGCCGGAAATGATGTGGCGCTTATTTCAGACAGGCGGTAATACAAGACCGGTGCTAATTGCCGAAATTACGGTACATTCACCAGGGCGAAACAACAAGAGGGTGCCCGGGAAAAGGAATTTCTTGTATCTATGCCACTGAAAGACCTGGGTCTGCATGGGCCGAGCACAACTTGTAATCAGGCAAAGTCACACACTTAAAAGTGTGTCCATTTGTATGATGGAATTTTCTGCCAAACCCTCTTCCCTCTCTGTCTCTTTCCGTCTCTCTCTGCCTCTTTCTGTTTCTCTCTGTCTCTATCTCTCTCCCTCTCTGTCTCTGTCTCCGTCTCACTATCTCTGTCTCTTTCTCTCTCTGTCTCTCTGTCTGTCTCTCTCTGTCTCTCTTTCTCTCTTTCTCTCTCTCTCTCTCTCTCTCTCTCTCTCTCTCTCTCTCTCTCTCTCTCTCTCTCTCTCTCTCTCTCTCTCTCTCTCCTCCCTCCCTCCAGAGCACTCAGTATTGGCCAACCAGCTGCCCGCCCATTCCCGGAGAATTGCTCTCGACGGAACGTCTCCACCTGGCGCTAATGTCAGTCGCTGACAGCCTCGACGTGCGTCAACTATTCGAGTGAGACTCGGCAGAACACTGTCCACACGCCACCATGTACTGCTAGGTGCTTCTCTGTACCTTGGACGGAGCCCTATGCAACAATTGAGTTTTCCTCCACATATGAATCATGCTACTTCCGCCAGTGTAGTATCTCGTGCGTGAAAGCCAACCCCGGCAGCAGCTGTGGTTTACTGTGTACCACGGGGCAGGTTACGTGATCAGAAACCAAGTGCGAAGAAACGTATTTGAGATTGTCCCTGGTCATGTTGGACTGTCGGTATGAGTACACACACTCCAGGTCACTCACGTGGACGTGCCTCTCCAATACTTCAGCAGTGTACCAACGTCACGAGAGAGAGAGAGAGGGAGCAGTCATCATTCAGCTGCAGTTTGATTTGGCACAGAGAGCACGGTCTTTGCGACGCCGTGCTTGGCAGCATGTCCAGCGCGCAGCTAGATATGCATTGACACTCAGACACTCGCACCATGGGTATGCTGCTCCTGGTGCTGAAGAAAAGCGCAAAACGTATGCATTGCCGTACAGTTAAGATTGTGTTGATGTGCACGTGCTCCTTCAACGGTATTTGGGCGTTGTCAGTCCTGAATGGGAGTGCTCGTCTGGTGCTCCTTTCTACTTGTGAAGTGTTCTACCACTCCGTCGGTGACAACTGAATGGATGAAAACAAAATAAACAGAGCGAAATCGGAATAGAACCAAGAAAGTCAAAGAAAAAGCTTTAACGAAACCGTCCACGTTTTCCAGTCTTGCTTTCTCTTTTTAGACAGTCACAGCTGTGAAGTGATGTCACGATAATGTACTATGCTTTTGATTCTTAGTGGGTTTTTTTAGGCTAGGTGTGTGTGTGTGTGTGTGTGGGTGTGGGTGTGTGTGTGTGTGTGTGTGTGTGTGTGTGTGTGTGTGTGTGTGTGTGTGTGTGTGTGTGTGTGTGTGTGTGTGTGTGACATTTCGTAGTTTTCTCTAGTTTTGAACATCTTTTGTCAAAGATAGGGATAGGGTGGACAAGGTCTGATGAAGACATTAATCTTCTGAAAGTCATGTGCTTTCAAACATGTCTCCATCAATGATGTGAAGTTTTCTGTTTCTGTCTCGGACTGGTGTCCAGGACAGAGTTTGCCCCTTTTCCGGCTTTCCGAGTTCTTTTTGTCGTCAAGTGAATTGAGCTTGGCCTCCCGTCCAACTCGCCACTCCTTGAAATCATCAAGTCGCTATTGGAGCATTTGAATTGTGCGCCGTGCGTGTGGTGTATGTGAGTAGAAAGCTTGTTCACAAACATCTAGCAAAGAGTACTGGTACGTACCATTCCCAGAGTGTTCTGAACTACAACACTGTCGGGTGCTGAAGAACTGGGGGTCACCCTCCTATCCTGGACTGTTCTTATTTTTCATGTATTACACTCTTGTGCCCCACCGTTTTCCGTGTTTCTTTCCTTGGCTCACCATCGGAGAACGTATTGCACTCTCTGTACAGAGTCACGGTGTATATATTTTTGGCATGTTGTGCTTTGTGAAATTCTAGGCTGTTCGCTCTTCGGCACCCGGCAGCAGTGCACTTCATTGGCTAGTGGTTCATGATAATTCCTGATCTACGTCATCAAGCTACACTGCCCTTTCTGAGCTCTCCAGATGCTCAGCCTGGAAAAAAATCATCCATGGCTGGCAAGAAGCTACTCATGTACAATCGGTGGTCACTATTTCGGATGCAGCCATAAGAAAGCTATGGTATAGAGATCGCCTTGTCCTCACCCACTGACTGTGGTGTGGTGAGCCCATACGTGGGATGATTTTCAAGTCCACCCAAAGTGTGGGTGTCTGGCACTGTCTGCTGTTGGGAGGCTCAATAGCCAATTGCATGAGTCATCGTTCAAAGGTCACTTTTGAATCCCTCTCCCCTTACATGAGCAGCCGCACCATACAAGATGTGCTAAGCCAGGGGCGTCGGACACGGCACGGTCACTAGAGTATTGACCGTACCACTTTTTGTCTCAGGTGCCCGTGAATAAATAAAATACATTGATCTGGGCTCAGTAACCCCTCCTCCCCCCCCCCCCCCCACGAGTAAATTGTACTTCAGATGGCTGACCGTACCACACGAAAATACCTTCCGACGCCCCTGTGTGTAAGCGTATAGGGGGAAAGGGTGCTGAGAGACACTGTAGCCCTAGACTTGGCGTACCATGCAATACTGGCAATAGATGACAACCAGGACATCATGTGATGTTATTCAATAGTCTATATTTAAAAACACACTTCATTATACAGCAACTGTGGTATCAATACAATACTGTCTTGCAGCACACTGTAATCTCTCAGTAGACAAGAACGCAACATGTCCATGTTCGACTGTACACACAAATTCATGTTCCAAGCACGCGAATAGAGGTCACATGAGAATGGATAGGTACAATAGATAGCATAGGAATATTTTATGGTGGATATTCGGTTGTCAAATTTTGAGCCGTCTCTACAGTCAGATGTGTAGGATAGGCATTACACAGTTGATTGTAACATGTACATAGATCTAATGCATGTACATTAGGATTCAGAAAACAGGCATGCACAACAACAGGACACTGTCATACGTACAGCATGTACAAGAGGGCGCTGGTTGACAAGATACAGCAGATGGAGAAAATACTTCTCGCCGCAACGAACACGTGCCACTTGCCGCCTGGTAGAGGAAAACGTTACACAGCGTATGTACATGTGTCAGAATCAACTCAGTTGGGAGCCGACGTGTCCCGGGTGGGACACCATCACACTCATATGAAGACCTGGGCAGAGTTAAGTTGGCCCGTGAACGGAGTGATGACCTTGGCCGTGGCAAAGTAGAAGATGAGGCCGAACGCAATGGAGAATGGCAGCGCCGGCAGTGCCTTGCGCAGCGTTGCCAGCAGGAGAACGGTGACACACAGACCGATGATGATGGCGAGGAAGCAGGCCAGGATGACGTTGAAGTCGCCGTCGCTGTCCTTGGTGGCGCGTCCCACCAGGATACTGTAGAAGATGAAGTCGCCGAGACCCAGCTTGACTCCCTTGTCTGCAAGACAAAAGGACAAACAACGCGTTTGAACTTTGTAGTCCTGCTCAGTAACATCCAGCTGTGTCACTCAAGCTTGCGCCTTGCCCTATTTCTCAGCCCAGTGTTCGCAGGTCTAGGGCTGCGCAGCGCCCGGCACGTACTTGAATAACACGACTGGTTTTCACTGAGCAGCACTGTACATGGAAAAAGCCAGGCGCGTGCCCCGTATGGGTTCTTGGGTGCCCGGAACCCCCCCTTTTTTCGCTCAAAATGCAGAATTTTGCTTCATCTTTTGAACATTTTCCCGGGGAGCCCCCCCCCCCCCTTGAAGGGCACTGGCGCACGCGCCTGAATGCTATGATAGGTAACAAGAACATGAAGCCGGAGTGAAAAGTACTGAGGTGCATTACATGTGCACATTGTGATTTAGGTAACGGCTAGCCGCTTTAGGAGCTGCATCCGCGCCTCCATCCATAGAGGGTGGTTGCGCTCCTGCGGATGCGGAAAACTCGGCCTCAGCTCCCTACAACTCCTAGATGTCTAGATGTAGTTGTAATGCCACCGTGTAGCTGTTGTCACATGCACATTTCACAGATACAGTAAACAAACCTGTAACTAACTAGCGACCAGCCTGGTACTACAGACCACTTCGCCAGGCACGGACGGTCTCACATTCATATTATGCGTGTGCTGTGCAAAACTCTAACTAAGGACCACCTGCCACTGAAGACCGCTTTCTCTGGCCCCAAGGGGTGGTCGTTAGTTACAGGTTTTAGTGTATGGCCTTTCCTGCTCAGTGCTGCATGGCATGGGTTCACAGTTGACTGTGGGCCACAGCTGTAGGCTATGAGATCAGCTGCCGAGATAGACCTGCCTGATGCTGCTACTGCAGCTGCTTGCATCAGTGATAATTATAGTCGTCGCCAAAAAAACCCGGCCAATGCCAATACCATGGACTCAGTGGTATGGTACGCGTTCACAGCGGTAGCATGCCGGTAGCATACATACAGACAGTCTGTAGATCTACCAGCACTGCATGCACTTAGTCACAGTGAGTGTATGCAGGGCATAGTCACTTCGTGTGCAGTGCACTAGTGGCAGTGCATGTCGCCCATATACCATACAGCTAGCATAGCATTGGCTGGATTTGTTCGGCGACGGCTGTACTATGGGTTGAACAGAGAACCGTAGACTTACATAGTGTAGCACTGCCGCAGCACTCTTGGATAACGTGGAATTCCCACGGGTAACTAGCATTCTTTGTACAGCGGGGGAATTTCCCATGATTAGTAACGAGCAAAATGCAATGCATCAGGTCAGTGATACATTTTAATATGGATATCCGGCGTAAGTAGGGATCTCAGCGCGTGCAATGCGCAGGGTGTTTGCGCATACATGGCGTCATCGAGTTTTGAGTGCAGCTCGCGGACGCAGCTGTAAAATGGCGACGCCGATTTTCGACACTAGCGGAAGCGGTCGACACTAGCGGAATCGTCATCTTCATCATCGTTAGAACATACTTTGTGATTCCTGCCGAAGGACAGCGTAGCCAAGGCGATATCGGCTTCAACTTGATTCATTTCGAAAAAAATGTTCTTTTTCACGGTTTCAGCACTGGACGCGTTCGGGATCTAAAATCTCACCTGCGCAAACTGGCTGCGCAGTTCACGCGCTGAGATCCCTAGCGTAAGGCAGAAGAATTCTGAATAGAGCTATGAACAGTATCAAATGCGCAAATACACACATGTAAGCAAGGTCGGTTTAGTGTTTCCAAGGACGTTTTCTTGTGATATTTATCAGTTGGAATACATCACAATCCAACATCAGGAAAGTAGAACAGAAGATGTGCAGAGAACGTCTACATTTCGCACGGTTCGTAGCTCTATTCAAATTATTTTTCGCAGTGTCGATTAATTCCGAAACGGCTGTGCTTTTGACTTTCACTGACCTTCATCGTCATCGTCGTCCTGGCCACTGGCACTTGGAGCCTCGCTGTCTCTCGCTTGGGGCTGCCGGCGTTGCCGCCTCTGAAGTGCCGCATCCTCGCCATCGTCGCTGGACAGTGCTTGGCGCGCCTGGACGTGCACCGGCTGTCGTACTTCACTGGCAGTCAGGGTTTCCTCCTCCAGGTCGCTGGGCTCTGACACGTCGGAATCGTCGGGACTCGTCAGTGGTACTCTAGAGTCACAACAGACATAGTTTGGACTCGGATTGAGAGCCAATGATTAAAGTGAAAACAAGAAGGACCAATATGCGCAGACTCCACTGTAGCCATCCCTTAGAACCATACCTACATTGTGCATCCTCTCAACACTCTCCAAACAGTCTCTGGGTTACGCCAATCAATGAAAAAGTCATCTGAACCATGCCCATCTTGGTTTTGTCTGAAAGGATTTTTATGTGATTGGTGTAACCCAGAGACCGTTTGGAGAGAGTTGTGAGGATACAGGGTTAAACATGGTTTGGTCCTTGGAGTATGGAAAAGCTTTCAAGGTATTCGACGGTTTCTAATGGAAGATTTTCGGTGCATGAATGCAAGCTATAGCCATCTGGTGACACAATGAAGAAGTTAGTAAATACTAAATAGACCTGGTTCATACAGTGCACAGCATTTGCCGGCTACCCCCCCCCCCCCCCCTCACACAGACACGTATAAGCCCATTGCCAAATATGGATTGCATGAGGAATGTATGCAAGTATGCGCTGGGATCTGGAATGCAACACCCCCACACGACCATACCCAGGTGGCTGTGTGGGGTGTTGGCGGTACGTGTGCCAATTACGTAATTGCGCAATGGCCGTATACGAATTCTACTCACCTATCCTCGTCCTGATCTCCGCTAGCAGTCCGCCGTGCTTGGCGCGTACGCGATGGCGCATCAGCCATCATGCCGGCAAACCAGATCATCGTGTTCGTCGTCGAGTAGACCAGCGACGGCATCAGCGGCTCGTCGCGCTCCGACGCAATCTCCACCAGCTTGCGCAGCGGCCCGAACGGCGCCAGCACGGCGACCAGATCGTACACGGCGATCAGCGCCAGCAGCAGCCAGGCCGTCCAGTCCGGAAGGTACTGTATGAAGATGAGCGCAATCAGCACGCACGTGGCGATCAAATAGAACTGCTGCACTCGCAGCGGGCCGCGCCAGTGAATGCCCATCACACCCGCCACGCAGAAGTTCCAGCCGAACAGCACCGCCGTGATCATGTCCATGGACACGCTGAGGCCGTTCATCACCGACGCAAAGTAGTAGAACGAGAACCAGCCGAGGGCAAGGACGGAGGCGCCGATCAGCCACACGGCCACCGCCTTGTAACAGCGGTACTTGATCAGTATCACCAAAACGCACGTCAGAGCGACAACAATGCCGAGTATGATGATGACGTTCACCAGCGCTTGTCCGAACTTCGTGCCTCCGGACTCGCCGCCATCCTCGTGATACGGCGTGTACGGCAGATACGTGTCGCTCTTCTTCTTGTACTCATCGATTGTCAGTATGCTAGCGCACACCACCGCCATGCAGAGCACGACGGGCAGGATCAGCTTGACCATGTTCTTCGCACCGGCACGCAGCTCCTCCGCTGTCGTGGCCTCGTCGTCTTCGGGAGAGCTCTGACGGCGTCGACGGCGTTGTCCGCCGCCGCTGCCGCCACTGTCCGCATCTCGCCCTCGCCGCCCAGGAGTGATCACCGCAGTATCCGAGGCATCCGCAGCATCGTCGGGAGTACTCGCAGTGCTGCCGGCCGTACGCTCCGTGGAGCCCGCTCGCGACTGGCGGCTGGCGTCCGCCATTAGTGGTCGTCGCTCGTCGGATCGACTCGAGCTAGGGACGCTCGATTCTGGTCCGTCTGCCGTCGACGTGCGTCCACTCATGCCCGACGTTGTGACCAGCAGCGGCAGCAGCAGAACTCCACAACTTCACAAGGCAAGGCGCAGCAGCTCAGCACTGCAGCACTACACCACACTAGTCCGCGTAGCCTAGTCACAACCCGAGCACCGACTAGCTGCACAACCTGAAACCTGAATCGAACAACAAACAAACATTGCAGCTGACTATTTTTTACGTCGTTCGACACGACTGCATGTGTGACTCGTGTCTTTTGTACGGAATCAGATTCTTGGCAATAATGGCAAAATAATAATAATTTTCTTACCAACCTACATGTGACTTACTTCGACTCGAGAGTCGAGTTCGAGCTTCTCCTGCATGAAGCATGTCTGTGATGAGACATCTCCGCATGATACAGATAAGAGTGCAGTGAGAGTCTGTGTAGAGGAGACGGCTCGATACCGGGACGTTTTGACAGCCGAATTTGTATAGACCCAAACCGATCATCAGCGTTGATTTTTCATTCGAAATATGTTTGTGGAAGGAAACTGGCATGTTGAAGTTTGCTCTGGGGCTAGAGTCAATCGAACTGAGCCACTCCTTTGTGTTGACCCATTGCCTCCAAGTTGCCCAGTTGCTACAAGAAAATGCATCCGAAAAATATTTTCGGCAAAGTGAGCTTTTTCCGAACAAACACGCCGAATCTTCGTGTGCATTTTCGATCTCGCTCCCGCGTGCCGAATCTTTTTGCCGAATTTCGGAATGCAAAACCTCGTAGTTACCGTACACTGAAATGGCACCAAATGCCCGGAAATGCTTGCAATTGGCTTTAAAGGGGCACTCCGGCTTCATTTTCGACGCCGAGTTTTCGATGCCAAGACGAAGGTAGGTGAAAGAGAAGACCCCTCGAACAAGAACGAGTCTCCAGAAGCGATCGAGTCGAGCAGGAAGACGACTTTTTGAATTTCGCCGAGCGAGCGCTGATGACGTAATGAGGGATTAGCTTGCCAGTGGAAATGCATCTGCGCACATACATTTCACATACTTTTTGGCCAATTTTCAATCGAAGAGGAGGTTGTTTTCTATGTTCTCTCAACGTCGTGAGCGATCCCGTCTTCTATACCCTTCCAGGTACCCTGAAGGTCCTCCAGAGGAGAATTTATCTCCAGCGAAGCGTTGTTGATCCGCTAAATTCGTCTCGAGACATATTCACCCAGTGCAGTGCTGATAAATGTAGAATGTTGAATCTGTGATAATTGTTGACGATGGAGAGAGAGGCTGAAAGCCGCTGTCGCAGGGAGAGTGAAGCTGCTGGAAGTAACAACGGGGAGCCCGTTTGTATCACCTGAACAACCAGACTTCAAAGCAGCTTGACCAAATCGGAGGGTGCCTCGGTGCTTATCGTGAATATTACACCGACATGAATTACTACAAGTACACTGGTGAGTTTTTATCTTGTTTTGTTCGTATGCTAGTACCCTGGCCTGGAGTTCTCGTTAGCAAATTCCTATTCCCCGGCGTTTTCTAAACATTCCGTGTAGTACTGAATACGTGATCAAGTATTCCGATTTGGGTAGATGTGGAATTTGGACATGCATTTTATAAAAAAATTCTATTTTCCTAATAGAGCGTTTGTAGTGAAATTCAAATGGTTGCCCAAATACAACGAAATTGATTCTGCAGTTCTACAACTTGTACTGAAATCCAGTCAAAGTAAAAATGATTCTTCATGACAGTTGGGGTCAATGAAATCTGATCCAGGCATAACGAATAGTGACGCCTGCCACCCCGAGAACGAATGCCCATTTGGTGGGGGATACCTAAGTACTCGAAAGTGGTGCATCATTTCAATGTGGCATGGAAGTTTTATAATATGATCTCTGGTCAATGCAACATACGATAGCCATCATGAATTGCAGGCCTCGAACGCAACTCAGACCAGAATTGGCAGTTCCCTAAGTTTATAATTCCATGGCCCCAGCTGTGGTTATAGAAGTTTGTTTGCACATTATTCTTATAGTCGATAGGTTTATACTAATGGCCACAAACAGCGGCAGTTCAAACTTCACTGACGTGTTCATGAGCTGAGAGATTTCTCTCCACTATTTCTGTTGTGCATACAGGTCTGTCCAATATGCATTGACAGTATTGGGTATGGTATCTGCTCTGAGAAGGGAATCGCTGGAGCCACAGTCCAACTAGACAGGCTTTCAAGAAACAGAGAGGATCCATCTTTCCAAGCTGATACCTGATGTGTACCGACAGAATTCTCACGAGATACCTTACGGACAACGTGTGGTGTGTACTTCATAGTACTCCTTCGACTACTATCTAGAATCAAGTCGACCGAAACGAGTCAAACAACTCTGGCTTCAAACGAGCCGTCGATTAGACAAACAAAACATTCTCTCATATACTGGAGCACTCTGACAACTCACGACCTATTCCTAACGATTTCCACCGCTTATACATATGTAGAGTGCTGATTGGAATGTGCTCACAATTTCAACAATTCAGTGCTATAATTATTTGAACAATGTGTTAGAAATTATTCCACTTTTCCTTCCATAAATGTTGTATCCACATATAATCCACAGTGCTCCGAAGTTTCAGAGTTCTCAGGGTATCAAACAAAATTATTTCGAATACAGTGAAATTGTTCGTGGACATTATAGCGTAACTAATTTACGTGTAGTTCCCTGGTCCTTTTCTTTGCTATAAATTAATCCTTTGCTCTCTAGCCGCCTGCGAGTCCAACAGTGAAATTGTTAGTTCATTTTTATAATGTGGGTATGTGGGAGGGGGTTGAACATATTTTTTATATAAGGGACCTGCAACTGTAATACCACAGTACAGTAGCCGGCAAATATGTAGAAAACAGAAATGCATGTTCCCATCATTGTACATGGACGGGCACAGCAGGCTGAAGCTATCAGCCAGAACAGGATTTACAATCACTTAGAGATACTTGAGCTATTCCAGTATTCTCCGTGAGCTGTCCCATTCCACAATGGTTCATGCCACCATTATTTCTGGTAGTATCCATGTGCATAGTTCCAAGACCATCTCGGATTCTTCAGCAATTTGTGCCACGGCAAAAGACAATGCTTGACTCGGTCACTGGGGCTGTCAAACTTCCCATCACAAATGAACTTCAATTTCTCATCTGTTTCAAGTATATGTACTGCCATGACTTGACCATGCTTCATCCACAGCTGGGCGAAGATTGTGGCGTTGAATTCCATAGCGCACCTTCTTGCTGCCATGCAGGAGTATGTTGAGAGAAGTGAACATATTTTTACTAAAAAACAACAGCCACTGAAGAGGATAGCAATAGCCTTGGGTGAATTTCCTGCAGGTACACGTTGTTGGTAGGTCTACTGGTCGGTGTCCATATCGTCAAGTTCAGAAATCACCTGTACTACACATCTTGTAGAAGGGATCCTGATCGAATAATTTTCTGGTCATAAAATTCACTAAACTGAGGGCGAGACAAATAGTCAGTACTCCCCGATTCCGTCAAGCTGCTTTGAAGTCTGGATACACATGTGATGCTAACAAGCTCCCCGTTGTTACTTCCAGCAGCTTCACTTTCCCTGCGACAGCGGCTATCAACCTCTCTCTCCATCGTAGACAATAATCACAGATTCAACATTCTACATTTATCAGCACTGCACTGGGTGAATATGTCTCGAGACGAATTTAGCGGATCAACAACGCTTCGCTGGAGATAAATTCTCCTCTGGAGGACCTTCAGGGTACCTGGAAGGGTATAGAAGACGGGATCGCTCACGACGTTGAGAGAACATAGAAAACAACCTCCTCTTCGATTGAAAATTGGCCAAAAAGTGTGTGAAATGTATGTGCGCAGATGCATTTCCACTGGCAAGCTAATCCCTCATTACGTCATCAGCGCTCGCTCGGCGAAATTCAAAAAGTCGTCTTCCTGCTCGACTCGATCGCTTCTGGAGACTCGTTCTTGTTCGAGGGGTCTTCTCTTTCACCTACCTTCGTCTTGGCATCGAAAACTCGGCGTCGAAAATGAAGCCGGAGTGCCCATTTTTGAAATTTTTTCCCGCGGGGAGGACCCCCGGACCCCCCTTCCATGGCCGCCCCACCTCCAAAGTCGTTTCGACGCGCCTGAGTAGTTCTTAGATGGGGACTCTATGCGAGCCGCCATGTCTTGACTCCGGTTTTGTCTTCACTCAGACAGACGCTGAACCGTCCTGTACTGTTGATCTCTCATCTGTGCTTGTGTGCTACGTAGATCTACTTCTTATCGGTAAAAATACGAGCCGCGGAGGCCTAGCTAGCATGCCTAGCACCACCCAGTACAGTCTTTGCCGGGCAGTGAAATTATTTTTGTACACGGCTTGGGCGAAGGCCTACGAGCTTACAAGTCCTGTTTGAACGGAGTGGACGATCAAATCGTTTGGTCGCTCACCTGTTACCGAGTCGGCGAGGAAACAGTAAGAACACTGGACTCCATCGAAAGTGCCGCGCCGGCGGGTACACAGTCACTGCCAGTGAAGCCCGCTATCGCAGCTTTGTTCAAGGGCAGTCCCAGTGCATATAATAAACCCGCCCCAGGAACATACCCGCATTGCTGACTCTGCTGACTGACCCTGGCCTCAGGCTAGCTGTCGTCACGCCGGCACTGAGCCCGCATGGAAGCGAGCAACCCATCGCAAGCCCAAGCCGCGACTATTCGACGGACTGAGGAACACGTGCCGTGCCCGCTGCGGCGACAACGGCAGACGAGAGCAAAGTGGTAGCAACAGCAGCAGCAGCAGCAGCAGCAGCGCCAAAAGTAACGTTGTTTTAAGAGTGGCGTATGACTGCGGCAATGCGGCCCACTTACAGTGAGTACCCACGTCGGCAGTGCCACACCACCTGGCATCCGGCAGTGGTGTCTGCTGTGTTGGTATTTGCCATGCTAATAGTGCCCAATCTAGTGGTGGATGCGGCAGCAGTGGTGGATGCGGCAGCAGTGCCGGATACAATCCCCGTGACTACTTGCCGTGGTGCCTGTAGCAGCTTGAGTACGAGTGAGCAATCGTACAATCTCTCTGGCTGTGATGAGTTCTTCGCCGGGGCGGATGGTGATATCGTGGACTGTAAACATAGTTTCGAGGACTTGGACAGCAGTTTAATTTGCACCAGGCTGATTTTTCAATTTGACGGTGAAACGTGCACGTCCTCGCTGGCTGCAGGGATTTATCGGAAATATCTCAACAAGAACTTGCCCAAGACGGAGTACAGCAGGTACCTTGCAAGTTGTCCACTTTCTAAATGTGTAGACCTGGACATTGCCAGTAAACGAGAGACGGATCTGCCTCTGGTGCAAGCATGTGTTCGCTTAGCAGCCATTAATGCAGCGAAGAGCGGGCTGGTCAAGTTGCCACCTGCGCCAGTTCATGACTGCCTAAGTGAAAGTGATGCGTTTGCATCTCAGACCGATTCCAGCTTGTGCGGAAATGAGCGGCAGTATTTCTGCAGTCAGTGGGACGCCTGCAGCTGTTCTAAAGACACGCATGATATACGTGACTGTGACGGCGTGTGTTTAGTACTCACGTCAGTCCGACAGAACCCACGTCACCTCTGCAGAGTCCTAAGTACAGCGCTATCTATGCGTAACAGCTACCTGGCAAAACAGATTCCATATCCAGGGGCTGTATTCGAGGACCGGAGCTTTGGCAATCAGCAGCTGCAGTACAAATGCCAGTTTCCTAGCGGTGATGAGACCTGGATGATGTGCGACTACCTGGGCCAGCTCATCCGTGCAAACGATCTTTGCGTCAGCTCATGTGACGAACTGGACGAATTCAAGCTAGCATTGCCTGACAAGACTCGCAGCCCGGTGCTGCAGGATATTTTGGAAGAGCTCAAGCGGCTTGTTGGTGAATTCCCTGATTGCTGCCAGTGGAGTAAGGCAATGAGAGTTGCACAGTATCTAAATGCAAACAGACGCAAGTTGGATGAGCTTTCCGCACTTTACAAGCTTCAACATAGCCATTTGATGGACGTTTGCCACCCGCAGTTGATATGTGATCCTTTGGCGAGAGGCTTCATGAAAACTCCTTCTGACAAGTGTTCTTGGCGGATTGCAACTGCCTGTACCCAGGTGGTTGCTTTGTACTGGTTTAAAGGTAAGGACACCAACTGATTTACATTTTTGCCAAGAACTTCTATTCCATTTGTGTCACGGTTGTTTCAGTGTATGTGTGCACGTGCGCTTGTGTGTGTGTGGGGGGGGGGGGGGGGGGGGTGCGTGCGCATGCGTGTGTTCATGTGTGTATGTGGGGGGGGGGGGGGGGTGAGTGCGGCGCATGCGTGTGTTCATGTGTATGGGGGAGGGGGGGGGGGGGTGCGCATGCGTGCGTGTGTTCATGTGTGTGGGGGTTGGGGGGGGGGGGGGGGGGGGGGGTGCACATGCGTGCATGTGTTCATGTGTGTGTGTGGGGTGTAGTGGATGCACATCCCATTGTTTGTCATTGTATCCTTTTATGTAACATGTATGCATTCATCCGGCCGCGCTGTGCGACATGCCAGTTGTACCGTACGCACTTTAGCTGTACCTGCCTGCCTGGCTTTTCCTTTGATCTCTCTGTCGTTCTCTGTATTCCCACACATTTGTGATTTGTAGTAACGAAGCTAGTTACAAGATGTCTTTGGTGCGTTTGTAGAACCACTACATGGTGTCAGAATTGGTTTTCCTGTAGTCTTTGGCCTCGTGAGCGGTGATGGCTCGTTTCAACCCTCCAGCGCCTTTCGACTTCAGCTCACCGGACCAGTGGCCCGCGTGGAAACTCCGTTTCACCCGTTTTATTGCCGCCACCAAACTGAGTTCCGACCTGGGAGAAACTCAGGTGGCCACTTTGTTGTATGCTCTCGGACCCAACGCCGACTCCTTGTTCGAGTACCAACTCGGACTATCCGAGGACGACAAGAAGAAATATGACGAGGTCGTCAGTGCTTTCGACACGTACTTCCGCCCCTCTACCAATGTTGTTCATGAACGGGCTAAATTTGAACAGCTTGTACAACAACCCGGCCAGACCGTAGAGGAGTTTGTCCGTGCTCTGTACAAAGCTGCAGAGTATTGTGAGTTTGCTGGCACGAAGGATGAGCGTATCAGAGACCGCTTCGTCGCCCACATGCTGGACAAGCGGGTGAGTCGGGAGCTGCAGATGAAAGACAAGAGCGAGCAAACTCTCGCCAAAGTTGTTGCGTTCGCGCGGCACGCCGAAACTGTCCAGCAACAGGTTGCAGCCCAATCGCGCAGTGGCTTGGCCGCCGCCAGCTCGATTTCAGACGATGATGCCTCAGCCTCAGCTGTCCAGTCGCACCGTGGTGGTCGATCTATGCCGAAGAGCAGACCGCATGGTAGCTACAAATCTGCAGCAACGCCGCCTGCGACCGAATCGAAGTGCCCGAACTGTGGTGGAAGCCACCACTCGCAACGCGATCAGTGTCCAGCCAGAGGCCAGTGCTGCAAAGCCTGTGGCAAGCGCAACCACTTCGCGCGAGTTTGCCGATCGAAACCGTCCACCTCTGCCGTCACGAACGACTCTCCGGACTCTCTATTTGTTGGCCACACGACGTGCGCACAAAGTGTAAGTGATTCACCCTGGTTGGCAGATCTAGCTATCGGAAAGAGTGTAGTCCAGTTCAAACTAGATACTGGAGCTGATGTCTCTACCATGTCCGTGCAATCATACAATACACTGCAGCCCAAGCCGTCCTTATCTGCTACTAGTGCCCAGCTGAGAGGAGCGAATGACCAGACTAGGCAGGTCCTGGGTGTATTTGAGGCTCACTGCTCCTTTCAATCTCAGTCCACTACCATACCCATCTTTGTTCTAGATGGTGCCAGCACTAGCCTGCTCAGCCGATCTGCGTGCACAGCACTGGGTCTAGTCCAGCGTCTGGCTGAAGTGCAAGGTCCAGTCCCACTCGTACAGTATTAGGTTGGTCCTGCTGCGCAGATTCACTTGACTTCCGACGCCACACCGTATCACTGCCTCACAGCTCGCAGAGTTCCTCGTCACCTGTATTCGAAAGTACGTGAAGAACTGCACCGCATGGAAGATGGCGACATCATTGCGCGTGTCGACGAACCCACAGACTGGTGTTCGCCTATGGTGCCCGTCCTCAAACCTAACGGCAAGGTACGCATCTGTGTCGACCTGAAGCGTCTTAATGCGTCTGTCAAGCGGGAGACATTTCAGCTGCCAACGTTAGAAGATGCCCTGTCTTCACTGGCCGGAGCGACTGTGTTCACGACATTGGACACTGCTAACGGATTCTGGCAAGTCCCACTCAGTCCCGACTCTGCCCGTTTGACCACCTTCATCACGCCGTTCGGCAGGTTCTACTTCAAGCGACTGCCATTCGGCATCACATCAGCACGTGAGATTTTCCAGAAGCGTCTCACCAACCTTCTGGACCAGCTCCCCGGCGTGTTCGTCTACATGGACGATATCATTGTCTCTGGCCGTACGCGAGAAGAACACGACCGTAACCTAGCTGCCGTACTAGACATCCTGCAGAAAGCCAACGTCACGCTGAACATGACGAAATGTCACAAGCGTCAGGCCGAAGTGAAGTTCCTTGGTCACATCTTCTCCGCCAAAGGTCTCCACCCTGACCCAGCGAGAGTGTCCAGCGTCGCTAATCTGAAGCCGCCCAAGAACGTCACGGAACTGAAGCGCATTCTCGGCATGTTCGCGTTCATGTCACGCTTCATTCCCAATCTCTCGGAAGTCAGCGCTCCACTGCGTCTTCTACTGGGGCATGACACCGCATGGGAGTGGTCTGCTACACAACAACAGGCCCTGGACAAGCTCAAACAGCTTGCCACCAATGCGCCCTGCCTCACGTTCTTCGACCCAACCAAGCCCACGGTCATCAGCACTGATGCCAGCAGTTACGGCTTGGGAGCTGTCCTATTGCAGGAGCATGACGACGGAATGCGCCCCATTGCATTTGCCTCACGCAGCCTCACCACTACTGAGCAACAGTACGCGCAGATCGAGAAGGAGTGCTTGGCTGTCGTCTGGGCTTGTGAGCGCTTCCACGGCTACATTTACGGCAACTCGTCCCTCACTGTCCAAACGGATCACAAGCAACTCATCCCGCTGATCAATACGCGTGATTTGAACCGTGTCCCGATGCGATGTCAACGCCTCCTGATGCGCCTGCTCACGTACAATCCAGCCGCCGTGTATGTCCCTGGCAAAGAGCTAGTTGTTGCCGATGCTCTGTCTCGCACTCCGCTCGCCTGTGACGACACGCCTAGTCTCCAAGACGAGATCAGCATCAACCTCACATCTTACCTCGCTGAGATCGTGTCGGATGGTATAGCCTGTGACATTGCTGACGCCACCACACAAGATGAGACGCTCAAGCAAGTCCTCCACTTCGTCCAACACGGATGGCCGTGCAACCCACGTGATGTCGACGACACTGTGCGCCCATACTTCCATGAACGCCAGTTACTGTCCTGTGAGCAAGGTGTGCTGTACCATGGTTTCCGCATTGTCATGCCACCCTCTCTGCAGCCTGAGATGCTCGAGAAGCTCCACGAGGGACATCAAGGTGCAACGAAGTGCAAGTCTCGCACCCGCCATTCCATTTGGTGGCCAGGCTTGTCAAGGCAAATCGACACGATGGTCGCTACGTGTGAAGTGTGCACCAAACACCGCGTCCAGTCGACCGAACCACTGCAACCCGTCCAACGCCCAACACTGCCGTGGCACACGGTTGGTGCAGATCTGATGGAATTCAACGGCACGACTTACCTCGTCATTGTTGACTATCTCTCGCGTTACCTCGATGTCGTACCGCTGACTGCCACAACCTCGATTGCTGTCATCAAGCATCTGCACCGCATCTGTGCCGAGCATGGTTTCCCGTCCACCTTGGTTACAGACAACGGTCCTCAGTTTGCCAGCGAAGCGTTTACTGAGTTCTGCACAGCAAACGACATCACCCATCGCACTTCCAGTCCACGGTATCCTCAGTCGAATGGCGAAGCGGAACGTGCAGTTCGCACCGCCAAGAATCTCCTGCGGAAGGCCGAAAGCCTGCAAGATGCACTCTTGGCTTACCGCACGACACCGCTGAGCAACGGCTATGCCCCATGTCAGCTATTGTATGGCCGCCAGCTCCGTACCGGTCTACCGGCAACGACTGAGCAGCTGGAACCGAAATGGCCAGATCTCCCTAGTATTCTGGAATCGGAAACTCAGTCCCAGGAACAGCAGAAGTTGCACTACGACCAACGGCATGCAGCTAAGCCTCTCGCGACTCTACAGCTTCATGACCGTGTATTCATCACCGATCTCGAACGGGAGGGCAAGATAGTAGAGCAAGTGTCCAATCGTTCTTACCTCGTTGAGTCTGGTCACTCTACTGTTCGCCGCAATCGTCGTCACTTGATCCGACTGCCACTGCCAGAAGCAGAGAAGCCGACAGTCGAGGTTGAGTACGGTGGCACAGCAGCTGATCCAGTCCGTCGCTCTGCTAGAGCTCCTCAGCCTGTCAACCGCCTCATTGAATCATGCTAATTCAGCAACGTGCCGAGACGTATCTGCCGTCGTCTCTGCACATCACTCTTTCACTGCAACTTGCTCTACAAACAATACCTACATTATCGAATAGTCTTTGGACTTGAACAAACGGCGAGGAAACAACAATTTGATAACCGCAATCAGTAATACAAGCTGGATCGACATTTGTGTACACTGTATTCATGTATTGTAAAACTGTGGAGACAATGTGCAATAAAACGATGAAAAATGTGAAGAAATTGTGTAGAGAAAGAAAGGGATTCAAACAAGTTTTCGTACAACACTCATCAGGAATCGTCGTTGTACTAAAGGACACTGAAACAAAAATTGAACTATTATAGAAAATCTAAGTTAGAGAAATAACACTAAGAGCAACAACAGTGAAATTTACAAGTGTGAATTTTAACAATCAAAGCGAGAAATGAACAAAGGAGAAAGGAAGGAAAGACAATGTGATAACACATAACAGCAGTACATTACACCTAGAACATTAACGGCCAAGCTTGGCCGCACTAAACACGACACGTTACTTGAACAATTTCAACCCAATTATACTATCTTTCTGTACACACAAATTAGGCTTGTGCAGACGCTGATAGATAGCTTCCAACACTTTTAACTGTAGACCATAACCATGACGACCACGGCACAATACAGTGAACGAAGAGTCGGAATACGCACCGCAACAATCAGGACTAGCCAGCAGATGATTGTACACTGAAGACTTGCTACCACGAAACCTACGCACAACACTAACACTCTCACCGGCACTCTCACCATCACTTCCATCACTGCTCTCCGACTCACTGCTCCCTCCGCCGTCCGTTCCATCCTCCGCTTCCTCTGTACTCTCTCTGTCTCGTCCATCCCGCCTGACCGGGTCCATTGAACTCAACTCGGCCGTCCCCTGCTATCACGTCCCTCCTTTCGCCCTCGTCCGCTGAGTGCGTAGCTTCTGTTGTAGTTGGCTGTTGATCGTCTTGGTCTTTCAATTATGGGCTTGGATGGTGGATTAGTTGTGGTTGCTGTAGATTGCGTTGTTGGTGTTGGTGTGGGAGTTACTGATATTCAAGGTGGGTCTCTTTGAGTCGGCATTTGTAGTGTTAATGCAGCTGTCAGTGTTGCTCGCGGTCTGCCACTGGCAAGCTCCACCGCCGCAAGAACCGATGGCGGAGGATCAGGAGGAGGCAGTGGGACCGGGACCGCAAGCGGCACCGCCTCAGCCAAAGCCGCCGGGGGCACTGACGAGGGAACCACCGACGGCCGGAGCAAAGGCGGCGACACAAGCCGACCCGATGAGCCACCACGCCCATTCTCCTCCACCACCGCCACCAACGACGGCGGAGCAAGCACAGTGTGAGAGCCAGGATCCGCGGGTTGTGTAGGCAACGGCTGTGTGGTTAATGGTTGTTTTCTAGGTCGCCCTCGCTTCGGTATTTGTTGTTGTGCGCAAGGTGGAAGTATGTGACGTGGTGTGTGTTGTTTGATGCGTGCGTTCAGGTGCTGAACAGTCCTACCAACATACCGACTAGCGCATTGTCGGCATTCAAAGTTGTAAATAAGATGACTAAGGTGAAGGGCTGGTAGGACATCCTTCCGCACCGTAAACGCACGCATCGTCGTAAAAACTGGCACAAAGTGTACTGCATAGTATGTTCGACGAACAACGGACTTGACTGCACTACAAACTTTAGTCGACTCCTGTCCTTTCCAAGGCAAACATAAATAGACGGGACAACGAGCAGGACCAAACAAAGGAGCCTTAGTAGTTTGTTCGACTTTCAACAACTTCTGCAACAAAAACTCAGGGTACCCGTTCTTAACGAAAACTGACCGGAGAAAGTCAAGCTCTTCCTGCAGCTTACAGGACGAACGAATACGCTTCGCACGGTCTACAAGGTTACGCACTAAGTTTACTTTATATTGAGACGAACAATAAGAGTCATATACAATGTACTGACCAGTAAACGTCGGCTTACGATAAACGGTTGTCAGAACGTCACTACTCGTTTTTTCCACCAGCACATCCAGAAATGACAACTTGTTGGACTGTTCATGCTCACATGTGAAACGAAGGGCAGGGTGAATACCATTTAACACGTCCAGAAACTCGTTACTACGCTCCTCATTATTAAAATATGTGAATGAGTTGTCCACGAAACGTACATAAAGGTCAGGCCACAATGAATCATCAATCTTCGACTCACAGTAACCGACAAACACGTTTGCCAATACAGGACCAAGGGGCGAACCCATCGCGACACCATCGACTTGTTTGTACATGACATTGTTGAACGAAAACTCAACTCCAGTTGTGACCAGCAACAACAATCGTCTAAACGCACTTTCAGATATCCAAGGAGTGTCAATGTCATCATTACGGTACAAAACATCCATGCAGATGTCAACAGTTTCTTCAATCGGCACATTAGTAAATAAACTGACGACGTCAAACGAACACATGTGTGCGTTGGGTGGTACAGGCTTGTTGCGGAGCTTTTCGACGAAATCAAAACTGTCTTTTACAGTGCGCTTGCAATAGTGGTCCTGCGTGTGTGTGTGTGCGTGCGTGTGTGTGTGTGTGTGTGTGTGTGTGTGTGTGTGTGTGTGTGTGTGTGTGTGTGTGTGTGTGTGTGTGTGTGTGTGTGTGAATGCATGTTCATGTTACACAAGCATGGATAAATTATATTGTTCTCAAAGGGTAACCAGCAGCTTTTGGCCTGTTTGTCAATAAAGTAATTCCACTTCCACCAAACGCGCTCTCTGGCCAACCTCACCCACCAGCAACATGACTCCAAGTTGTAGATACTGTTATGTACAGGTAGCGATAATATTACGACTACCTTTTCACAAGTCTCGTATTGCGAGTGAAGACACAACAGATACTGACAAATATATTTTCCTCCGCACAGCGCTGTTTCGACCACTATCGGTCTCATATGTTATCCCTAGTTTGTGTCCAACACTACTGTTGCGCAACGGGTCTAGAGTGAAAGACTTTTCATGGCTTATTTATGTTGTTCTTTAGTTTTATTGTGTAGTGGTTTAGTCTTGACTTTGTTGCATTGTTTTGGTTGCATGTGCAGTCTTCTGTACATGTATACACCATGCAACGCTTACGTCATCGTCGCGCGTGCAACATTATTTCGTGCGCATGCTCATTATATACTGCCGCAACGTTTGTCCTTTTCTTTAGTTATCAGTTTTGCCTCGTCGTGTCCAGTCTTCTCGTCTGTCCGTCTTCGTCTTGTCCAGATAATATGTAGAACTTTTAGTTCAGTTGCGCTGTTGTGTGTGGCGAGTCGGATGGGCGGGGAGGCTGGGCCCCTGACGCCTGGAGAAGATGTGCTGGTGCACGAAAACTACGTAACAGTTATATGCAAGATGGTGTGTTGTCAGAAGGTGCAACAGCTAGCACAATACTGACTGATGTGATACTGACATTCATCGACCTGATGATAAGCTCTATCATGTCTTGAATGCGCAAACCAACAGCCTTCCAACTTGGAAGGTTCTAAGTTATGAAATAACATGAGAAAGGGAAGGTGAGCGCACTCAAGACGAAAACAAGCTAAACATCACGGCAAAATAAAAAAATTAGTAAGAATGTTAGCTTTGACGAGATGGTGACGAAAGACGAAGGATCACGGCACAGGACGGCCACGGCTCACTTCGAGAACGCGAAACGACAACCACCCAAGGCTCATGTTTGTCGGAGATAAGCAAAAAGAGGGAAAGTAACGCGAACACGAAGTGAGACAGACCGGACGGCACTATCTCTTCGTACTAAACTACATGTAGAACGGAACTTGTTTTGGACTAACCACCAACGACAATAACAAGTAGTATCACTTGACGTACGTTTCGCCGTATGGATTCTGACGGCTCATCAGGTGTGCAAGTAAGACTCAGATGGAGAGCCAAGGATTAAAAGAAAAAGACCAAAATGTTACATGTTTTCCGTAGTTTGTGTCCAACACTAACAGTTATAAGCAAGATGTTGTGTAGTCGACTAGAAGGTGCAACAGCTTGGACTGGTGGAGGTGAAATTGCTTTATGGATAATATAGAATGGCATTTTTAGGAGCCCATGTTATGAAGCACACAATGAAGTCTGACATAATATTGATCCTGAGTTGTGCATGGCTTGTGGTCATGGAACTGTTACCCAGGAGATCTGTCATGGACAACGAATACATGATGTTGAACATGAGTGCACATATCGGTAAATTGTACCATGAACTAGTCGATATCATGCAATTAGGCGAATTCGCCTTTTCATTCTTCGACGCTAAATAAAACAAAACAACTACAGCGTATTTATTTTTGGTGGCGTGCAATTGCTTGATGAGCGCAGTGCTTGTACCCAAGTGTTGATTGTAGTTGTCAGAAAATTTATCAACAGCCTTCCAAGTTAGTGGGAATACAAACTGAGACTAAATTACCAAAACTCAAAACTAACCCAATCTATTCACAATTTTGAGGGAAAGATGCAAACGGGAAAAGACTGAGGAAAAATTGACTGTTACCACCAGGACTCAAACCAGGGACCTTCGCTTGAGGCCAGCGATGCTCTAACCCCTGAGCTACGATGTAGCTGTCATCCCACCAGGGACCGTTCAACATTTTCATCAGACTTCGTAACTCACGCTTCCTGTGGATCCATCCAGTATAGGTGCGATTTCGATATTAGATTGGGAGGGAGCATAAAATGAATGCCTATTTTTTAAAAACTGTTGGCACGGGGTAACGTGTATATGATCATGTTGCAGTGCTGCCAACCTTCTGTATTTTTTTCCGTATGTGTACGATCAGCAACGGATATGTATGCAGAAGCATGGCAAGCGCAAGCTGAGCGATGGATATCCCTGCGCCAAAGCGAGTGCATGGCAAACTTCGACTACATGTAGCACAATTTATCATGCCGTGGTACAGTTGCACATGTTTTGCACTAGGAAATTCAGCCACGGACAAGCATGTGAGTGTGAAAAAAGCACAATACACAATACACAATACACACGGCATTACACTGGTAGTACGGAAAAAAACACTGCAAAATACGGAAAATCAGAAGTCGCAGTACCCAAAACAGACCCAGTTGGTTGGCAGCACTGATGTTGATGATCATAAGTTTCCGACGCCAGTGTTGGCTGTGATGCGTATGTTGATGTGCTGTATGGTGCGGGAGGGTTCGGAAGTGCTTTGTTCGGTACTGTTTTCTTTTTTTGAAGATCTTTTCAAAATGTTGTGTGTGTGTGTGTGTGTGTGTGTGTGTGTGTGTGTGTGTGTGTGTGTGTGTGTGTGTGTGTGTGTGCCTTGGCACCCGTGTGGATTGTTTGTCGGACTGCGCCACCACTTTATGCTATGGTACTTCTGCTGTTTGATGATGTGGCCATGTAAGAGGATGACCTTTGGAGCCAGTGGCTGAGCATTCCTGAACCAACTAAGGCGGCCGTGTCAAAAGGTGAGGGAACGGTGCTGGGCCTGTATTTGGCCATTTAGCCTTAGCATCGTAAGTGCTGAGGTGCCTTTGGTATTTGTGTTGAAAGAGATATATGCCGGACCTAGAATTTAGGAAGATTGAAGAAGGAGAGTGACAACTAAAAGATCCGAACCGACATGTACACAATGTTTGTTGTGAAGAGTGTACCAGCCAGAGTGCTCACGAGTTTGGACAAGGGATTTTAGATATCTGGCAGAGCAGGCGGGGTGACTCGGACATAGCCGTTGAGAGAGAGAGAGAGAGAGAGAGAGAGAGAGAGAGAGAGAGAGAGAGAGAGAGAGAGAGAGAGAGAGAGAGAGAGAGAGAGAGAGAGAGAGAGAGAGAGAGAGAGAGAGAGAGAGAGAGAGAGAGAGAGAGAGAGAGAGAGAGAGAGAGAGAGGTGTGTCTGTCTGTATGTGTGTGTGTGTGGGGGGGGGGGGGGCATGTGTGTGTGTGTGTGTGTGTGTGTGTGTGTGTGTGTGTGTGTGTGTGTGTGTGTGTGTGTGTGTGCCAGCTAGTTCGGTTGGTGGGTACACTTATGCCTGATTGTGTTGGGTATGTTGCCAACGGGCTCGGCTGCTTGAAGGTGTAATGTTGTACCTGCCACCTTTGTTGGTTCCAGGGTTCATAATGTACTTTCTATTTGAAGTATACATCCCTGTTAACCATGGACTGCTTCTGGCTAGATTAACTCTTGTGTAATCAATGGTGCTAGTGAAGCTTATATCAGATCCACTCTGATTCAGCCACCCACACTTGTAGCAAGTATTACCTTCACTGGGGGCAGGGGTAACTGCAGTTGGATCCCTGGACGGATACCCTGATGCCGTCAATCCCTTTTCTGCACCTTGTCCTCACCCACTTACTGAGGTGTGGTGAGCCCATAAGTGGGATCATTTTCAAGACCACCCAGAGTTTTGGGGATTTCAGGGGGTGTCGGCCGCTGGGCGGTTCAATAGCCAATTGAGTCATCTTTCCAAGATTCCTTTTGAGTCTCTCTCCCCTCTCCCGGGGAGACCCACGTAACCAGTTTTGGCAGTGAGCAAAAGAGAGAGTACAAGTGTGTGTGTGTGTGTGTGTGTGTGTGTGTGTGTGTGTGTGTTCATGTGTTTTTCAGAGCCACAAGGTAAAGCTGAAGGAGAAGCTGTTCCAGCGTCTGTCATGGAATCTAATCCAGAAGGGGACGGAGAAATTCCTCCAGCTCCAGCTCCAGAGGCAGAAAGAGACGTTCCTCCAACGCTGGACGTGAAAGCTAAACCAGAGGCGGAAGCAGAAGGTGCTCCAGCTCTGGACGTGGAAGCTAAGCCAGAGGCGGAAGCAGAAGGTGCTCCAGAGTCTGTCGTGGAACCTATTCCAGAGGAGGGCGGAGAACTTCAACTTCCAACTCTGAACGTGGAAGCTACTCAAGAGGCAGAAGATGGTGCTCCAATAGGGTATGCTCTTTCTGCTGATGAGGTCAGCTTGAGACATGAAACTAATGGCAATGGAACTGTAACAGGCGACGCTGACCACAATGGAACTGTAACAAGCGACGCTGACCATAGTGACGTAGAACGTAAGACTGTCCGCGTCTGCTCTTTTCTCTTTTCTGATTATATTGTCTCCCTGACTTGGCCTCCCTGTGTGCTGTGCGTAGTATTGACTAGCTGACTGCGTGCAGTACTCCACTTGGAAGGTCCGACTGGCCAATTGTGCTTTCATGGTGAACCTGTGGTGGATCCCGGATCTTTGCTTATCGGGTGATATCTGTGGTGGCGGCGGTGCCGGTGAAGGGTGTTGATTGGGGGGGGGGGGGGGGGGGGCACCCTATGCAACCTACGTAAAGGCCTGAGAACTTCACATGGCTGACAAACGCCACCTCCTCATCTATATTGGCACTGATTCATCTTTAGCCACTGGAAGGTGTAACAATAATATTAAACCGTACACATATCGGTTTCACTGAGGGTGGAACACCAATGGGGGTTTGGCGGTGGTGGTGGGTGGGGGACGGGTGCATCATCCCCCTAAGTCTGCATATTGGATAGTATATGTTTGCGTTGACTTTTTTTTTAAGGGTCAAGTTTTAGGTCAATGTTAGAACAGAGGCCATGCAGCATGTCTGTGTATCATGGTCCTACCGGTAGGACCGAGGTCTATGCAAGCTATCATTAAGGGTTCAGAAGTAGCTGGAGGCTCATGACCAACCCACCATTGTCATACGGTTTGGACTAACGCTACAGACTTTGGGTCGCTTGCTGCTCTGAAGTTTCTACCTTTGCGTGCCTGAGGTACGGTTTGGTTCACTGCGTGTCTGCCTTTCTTGTGTGTGTGCTGTGTAGGCTACGGCACCTACGTGCTTGTACTTATCGTCTTTCTCGGTGTGGGATTGGCTTTGTTCACCTACCGAAATGAGGTAAGTTTTGAAGAAGAAGAAAAAGCTGATTTTTTATCTTTTCCTCATGGTGGCGGTCGGTGGTGTTCTTTTGCTGCTGTTGTTGCTTGATGGAACATCCGCACAGGGGCACATGGCAGAAGGGGGGGGGGGGGCACGTGCTCATCACACCTCAAAAATGACTCTCTGTCACGAAATATACCCACACATGCTTGATGATTGTGCACGCTTGGTCATCTTCCATGTAGATCAACCAAGCAGTTTTCGCTGGCGCTTCCTTTTTGGCATGTTTTGTTTCGACTCGTGTGACGTGTTTGGCTGCTTTTGTCAGACCAGAACTTAAAATTTCCCCTGGACTACTTGTACCGTACTTCCGCACATATAAGCGCATGTGCTTATGTCCGGACATAAGCGCATGGGCTTATATGTGAACACTATTGGTGAAACACCCGGGAGCTGAATATACTGCTAAGCATTGTGATAACACCGTTGTTTAGGACACAGACAAATCTTTATTGCACATAAGCGCATGGGCTTCTACCTAAACATGTTCACACAGCAAAACATCTTTTTTCAAGTTTTTTGTAGCAAATTTTCACTTATAAGCCCATGCGCTTATATGTGGGGAAGTACGGTAAGTGTGAGAGTCCCACTCTACTCTTCTGCCAAGAGTGTGATATTCGTGCCTAATCCGTCGTGTTCGCAGAGCGCCCACTGAAACGACGTATGCTGAAGGTTAGCACACGTCGTTTTTCGGCATGAAACTCTTGTCAATTCTTTTTTCTCTCTAAAGGAGTTATAACAAAATCAATGAAGATTGCACGGGTGCACGAGCCGCTTTCGAGCCACTGGTCACCGTGCCTGGCCATGATGCACATTCCACCGGACCATGCCGCTGAGTGACACTGCCGACTTGTACTACAACGATCCTGCGTTGAAGGCGTTGCCTGAAACAGCACTTTCACTGGTGGCGAGAAGGGAATAGCCATGGGCGGTTGACTCGTGACTGCGTAGCATTTCTGTGTCGTAAAATAAATACACGTCCATTAGCGTAATGGTCGAGTTTGTCACTATTTCTTCGTCATACCTATTACTAATCTGAAGAAGGGCTGAGGCTTCCTGCACCTTCATCTGTGATAGGAATTCGGGTGGGCACACCCATTCATGATTCCGACATTGTTCTTCTTACCTGACGATGGCCAAGTGCCGAAACGTTGTAAAATAACGGAACTGGTTCGGATGTCCAGCGCTATGGGAATGGGTGTGTCCACCCGAATTCCATTCATACCTATTACTGTTGGTAGTTTTATTTTATTTTTTATTTATTTAAGTTTTTTATTGGGAACACAGCCCTACAAAGAGACATGTCAAGACAAACACAAAACAAGACAGGGGATGTAGGGACGACGTGCCGATGTACAGGGAGCAACTCGACCGACCAGGGGTCTCGGCGTTAGCGTTGCAACCTGGCATTGAAAAAAAAGGGGGTTGCATGGTCAAGTAGCTAAAATAATAATTGGTGCGAGAAAGGGGCGCTAGTATTGCACCAAATAATATAAATACGTGTAATAACTAAACCGGAAGGGAAAAAGAAAAAGAAAACAATAATCATAACAAGCAAAGTATTAGTAGGGCCACACTTTGTTTTTTCTATGTTTCCCGTCATCGCCCGCGTAGGTTTTCAGAAATTTCGGAAGAAAAAAAAGTTCATACTACTGTACGTACATATATGTACGCTGCACATGCTGCAGCAGCTAGCCTAGATGCGTCAATCAATAATCGTAACGTTTGCACCACAGCAGCAGCAAAGGAGCGCTCCTCGTCCGTTTTCTGCGATGAAGGCTGTCATGACGAAGCTTTCAGTCGTTCACTGCCTGAGCCTCGTGGGTCCCAGGAATACCGTAAGTCGGACGAGTTTCGTTGCAACTGGCGTCTGTGGAACGATGTCGTAGGCAGAAAATCCAAGCAATAGACGCATGGCAAGGAAAATATGAGCAGCATGGAGACAAGAGTTTGATAAGCGGACACCAGAACGTTGAAGTAACAAAACCAAAAATTAATGACGAGTGGGAAACGTTTGTTGATGCGATAGCAGATACATGTATGTTCTCTTCGCCATCTCGTAATCAAACTTTATGCTCTCATTGTTGCAGTTTGCCTGATATTCGTGGGCTGATGTGATAAAATGACTATGTAGTGCAATCATGTATGGGACTACATGTACATGATTGTACAATGTAGTACTGTATACATGGTATACGCAGTGTCTGGTATGAATCACGCATATACATGGACATTGAAAAATGTATACAGTTTTCAGTAGAAATTGTTCTTGTTTTTTTCCTTGGCTTTTGTTTTTTTCCGCCTGCCCACGTACCTTTTGTTAAAATTTGCCGACGAGAAACATAGAAAAAACAAAGTGTGGCCTAGAAAGGTAAATACTAAATGGGTCTCAATATCATCGTCACAGGTACTGTGTGGACCACAGCCATCTCTTTCGGATTAGATCCTTACATACGTTGACCTTGAAGGTTTGGAGGCGTCTTGAATGAGGTTCATGAAGCAGGAGGTCCGCAGGCAGGTTGTTCCAGGGTGTGATGGCGAAGAAGGGGAAGGATCGCAGGAGGTAATCAGAGGCTGTGCGAGGGGGTGTCCACTTCAGCTGGAATAACGGTGCTAATGAGTTCGAGTTGTGCTTTATGCATTGGAGAACGCAACTCGAAATGCCCGGCCGACCAGAAGGTGGCCATGTAACAAAGTGATGTTTGTTTATGGAAATGGTTTGGGTCATTACTTTGGAATGGGTCTGCGTACTCAAGTCTTTTTCCTGCAGATCATTGCAACGTGGAAGAAACCCAAGACTTCTTCTGGCATTTTTTAACTTAGACCTGAGACAAGACATCGAAAGGGAACCTAAATCTCTTCTCCATCATGTTCTTCCCCTGTGTCTTGTAGGCGTTAGTTTGCCTTGCACAAGGTGGCAAGGACAAACACCGAGGTGGGCGCCGGCTGAAACCGTCCATCGGAGATGAGGTTGAAGATCCCCTACTGCCTACTGTAGCGTGGCCCACGCATGCTCTACACTACTAATCTTGCAGGTGCTCTATCAAAAAATGATTGATGGTCCTTTCAGGTTCAGGGTTCTTTCAGGACTCGCGATTTTCTACTCTTGTTTCATGTTCAAGCATGTAACATTGACGTATTCATTTCCTCTGTGTCCTTGATTTCTATGAATTGTGTGCACATTTAGATGCATAAGTGCATTTTCTATCGCTCTTGCTTGACCGTGTAGTGTGTTTTCAGTCACCTGTTGCAGTGCCATTTGCCATCTCGCTATTCATAGGCCGATCCATGTGCGCGCATACTCCATGCGTGCATTTGTGTGTGCGTGTGTGTGTGTGTGTGTGTGTGTGTGTGTGTGTGAGAGAGTGTGTGTGTGTGTGTGTGTGTGTGTGTGTGTGTGTGTGTGTGTGTGTGTGTGTGTTGGAGAACTTCCCTACCTTTGCCCGGTTGGTTCCTGTATGCCAAGCCTATTATAGCAAGACCTACATCACGCCTACATGTATATTGTAGCATGACCTATGTCAGTCCGGTCTAAACTAAAATGATGCCTTGCTGATGACCAGTGATTTTTTTTCGAAAATAAGGGAATTCTCGCACAGCTTCACATAGACACAGACACGCACACACACACACACACACACACACACACACACACACACACACACACACACACACACACACACACACACAGACAATTCCAGCATGACGCCATGCTGCCGTCTCTGCACGTTTCTTTTTACCAGATGTTGTTTTTATCGGCCATCATTATCCTTATTCAGGCCTTTGAGACGTTTGGTTGAAGTTTGAACCTTCTCTTGAACGACTGTTGCTGGCCAATTCAGTGGCGTTTCTTACTAAACATTGTGTCACGTGCTGGCTGCATGCACCCCATACTCGATTTACTAGTAGCTTTCTTTGAATGTTTTGGCAATATCTACCGAAGAGAGAAAGTCTTCCGTGTGCTTTCTAGTTCTTTTACCCGTAATTCTAGTTCTTTTACCCGTAATTCTAGTTCTTTTACCCGTAATTCTAGTTATTTTACCCGTAATTCTAGTTCTTTTACCGTAATTCTAGTTCTTTTACCCGTAATTCCAGTTCCTTTACCCGTAATTTCTTGTTCTTTTACCCGTAATTCTAGTTATTTTACCCGTAATTCTAGCTCTTAGGGCCTGGTCAGACTGCGGCAAAATCGAAATTATCCTGGGAGTATAATCCGAATCTCCATAGTAACTTGCCGCCAGAGCGGCAAAAGCGGAAGTTGACGCTGCAAAACAAAAGCAAGAACGGACCACGCTTTTTCGCTCCAAACAGGATTTGACGCTGATACGCCATTGACGCTGATAATCACTGATTTTTTCATCTCTATATCGAGGAGCTAATTGGCAACGGACAACGACAAAACTCATAAGGATGATTACAAGGATTGCACTGAAGGTGTTGGTGATCCCCAAGATGAAAGAATTTGACATCGTTCGTGGAGATTACCACTTGACGCTCGAAATGAAGTTTGAATTTTCATTCTCCCCACATGTGTAGTGTGACTGATTGCGATTCTAATTCTGGACGCTTTTCTGTTTTCCTCAGGCAACCAAAATTTGCCGCAGTCTGACCAGGCCCTTATTACCCGTAATTCTACATGTATTTTTTCTGTTTTCTGATGATCGCTTAGTGCGTGAAACTCTGAGTAAAAACACTTCCTCTGTCCTATTGTTTGTATTTCTTTTACCCGTAAAACTTTTTCATCTTTTTTTTGTGTTTTACCCTATGATCCGGAAAAAAAGTTGGTTTGAAAGTTACAAAAGCAGGTTGTGTTGGACAACTAGTTCTTTTTCTGTAAAAGCCGCGTATCTGCAGTCACACGGAGGGAGTAAGGGAGTGTGGTGACGGGATCCATGTATCTACGAGGTGATTTGGCTTTTTTTAACATGGTTGTAAAATCACGTTTTTTCAGCCACTTCTAGGCAAGCTACGTCCAAATGAATTGTTGCAAGTGGAAGTGCTATCCTTCATGCCCGTTGTCTCAAAAAATGGGAATGATCCCACTTTGGAAAGTGTCTTGAATCATGTCATACTTTCATAGTATTCTCAGGGTTCAAATAATTGTTGTGTCATTTTTTAACAAATTTGTAAAATGGCATCACTAACTGGGATATTCGGTCATCAATGTTCTGAGGTTGATAGATATCACTTTGAGGAATGCTAGTGGATGAAAATTAATCTGTCAACTGCATTGTATGCTGCCGCAAAGCCGTGTTTTTGTATTTGTAACTAGTGGCTGTGTCGTACGGTAGAATTGGATAGGTAGCATAGCATCGCAGCCATGTTTTCGTTCTCACAGAGTGTATTCCGTGACCTACTGTTCTTCACTGTTGTCTTTAGTGATGGCAAGACGGCCTGACGTCGTCCAAAGGCCCTGCGGAAGCAATTCACAGCCCTCCTCGTCCATTCAAGGGCTTATTTTACACATTTTACACAAAATGGCAAAGCACCCACCACTAGTTACATGTATACCGACGTGGCAGGGAGAATTAAATTATATGCACCAAATGTTCTGGTCAATGTTGATCTACGATAAACATGATAAACGGGCTCTCATTTGTCACCACCCATGTTTCGATACAGCCATCCGGAGCAGAGAAACAGCCAGAAGAAAAGCAAATTTTACACATTTGTTAAAAAATGCCAAATGTTAAAAAAAGCCAAATCACTTCGTACCTCCGCCAACCATTGGTCTCAGCATCATATAGGCCTTGACGGATTATGCTGGCATAATGTTTCGCATAATTTCTACCAAAATCGAATAATCGCATAATTCGAGGCAAATTGCATATGAATCGCATAAATTGGAATAATCCGCCTGTTCGCATCAAATTCTAGTTGTACATGTTCTACAAAGTACAAGTACAAGTAGATGCACCAGGAAGTAGGCCTTGACGGATTATGCTAATATTTTCGTGAAATTATGCTTTTCGCATTGCTGAAAAAATTGCAGAATTATGCTATTTTTATGCTAAAAGTTACCATGTTATGCCGCATTATGCTCACATATGCTGCTAATGCATAATGGTTCTGTGCAAAATAACAGGGGAATTTTTTGTAGAGGGCGTTGTACTGTAGTAGCAAAAGTTCAACGGGGTCAACGCACCGTCCGACCTAGCTACGACCATCACTGATTGTAGTGGACTGGACATGTTATCAAGGGAGTCGTAAACCTACAACTTCCTAGTGCATCTACTTGTACTTGTACTTGTAGAACATGTACAACTGTATGGAATTTGATGCGAACAGGCGGATTATTACAATTTTATGCGATTATTATTATTATTATTATTATTTTATTTATTTTACTAGGGATTCGTATGCAATTTGCCTCGAATTATGCGATTATTCGGTTTTGGTAGGAATTATGCGAAAAATTATGCTAGCATAATCCGTCAAGGCCTACCAGGAAGTCGTAGGTTTACGACTCCCTTGATAACATGTCCAGTCCACTACAATCAGTGATAGGCCTTGACGGATTATGCTAGCATAATTTTTCGCATAAATCCTACCAAAATCGAATAATTGCATAATTCGAGGCAAATTGCATACGAATCGCATAAAATTGTAATAATCCGCCTGTTCGCATCAAATTCCATACAGTTGTACATGTTCTACAAGTACAAGTACAAGTGGATGCACTAGGAAGTTGTAGGTTTACGACTCCCTTGATAACATGTCCAGTCCACTACAATCAGTGATGGTCGTAGCAAGGTCGGACGGTGCGTTGACCCCGTTGAACGTTTGCTACTACAGTACAACGCCCTCTACAAATAAATTCCCCTGTTATTTTGCACAGAACCATTATGCATTAGCAGCATATGTGAGCATAATGCAGCATAATATGATAACTTTTAGCATAAAAATAGCATACTTCTGCAATTTTTTCAGCAATGCGAAAAGCATAATTTCACGAAAATATATTAGCATAATCCGTCAAGGCCTAATCAGTGACGGTTGTAGCTAGGTCAGACGGTGCGTTGACCCCGTTGTACTTTTGCTACTACAGTACAACGTTAACGCCCTCTACAAAACAATTCCCCTGTTATTTTGCACAGAACCATCATATACATGTGCATGTACATCAGCAGCATATGTGAGCTTAATGCGGCATAATATGATAACTTTTAGTATAAAAATAGCATAATTCTGCAATTTTCCCAGCAATGCGAAAGCATAATTTCACGAAAATATTAGCATAATCCGTCAAGGCCTAGTAGGCTGCCCCCTTAAAGTCACGCATTTTCTATTCCAGGACACTGTGCGTGACTTATCGCGAGTAGACTGTAGTTTACACGATGTGTACGTGAAATGTTTCTTTTTTTATGGAGTTGTGTACAAATCCTTGATCTTGCTGGAAATCCCGTAGCTCTACCAACTTCTACCAGATTCTACCAACTTTTTCCCGGTAGAGCCGGTAGAGGAAAGTAGAATCTACCCTTTTGAGTAGAATTTTTTTTTCAAAAAACGAATACCTCTACCGAAAGAAGTAGTTTCTACCCAAACCTGTAGACCAAAAACGAACGCCCCCTTAGTAGTCAAATATATCGTGTATTTGACTAAGCAGTCAAATACGCGATATATTTGACCGCTTAGCTAATTAGGTATAAGGGAAATTAGTGGGGTTAGGCCTTGACGGATTATGCTAGCATAATTTTTTGCATAATTCCTACCAAAATCGAATAATCGCATAATTCAAGGCAAATCGCATACGAATCGCATAAATAATGGAATAATCCGCCTGTTCGCACCAAATTCCATAGAGTTGTACATGTTCGACAAGTACAAGTAGATACAACAGGAAGTCGTAGGTTTACGACTCCCTTGATAACATGTTCAGTCCATTACAATCAGTGATGGTCGTAGCTACAATTGTAGGTCGGACGGTGCGTTGACCCCGTTGAAATTTTGCTACTACAGTACAATGCCCTATAAAAAAATCCCCTGTTATTTTGCACAGAACCATCATATACATTAGCAGCATATGTGAGCATAATGCGGCATAATATGATAACTTTTAGCGTAAAAATAGCATAATTCTGCAATTTTTTCAGCAATGCGAAAAGCATAATTTCACGAAAATATTAGCATAATCCGTCAAGGCCTACAGCCTACCCATAAATTTCATATGGCATTCAATTGACCGTAACTTTGGTGTGTCTCAATGGATTTGAGTGAAATTTTGACCACACACTCCTGCCACTATGCTGGCCCTCAGGACATGATTTACAAGTTCTTGCGCCTCACTGACAGGCTTTCCAGGCCGGAAAAACTCAAATTTCCGGCATAGTGCCACGGTGTGCGAGCCACCCAGGAGCCAAACAAATGCATTTACAATTTTTTCACATTTTCGTGCTCATTCTTGTTATGTCCCGGTTTCGCTCAGTCAGCAGAGCACGAGGGTACAGTAATGGATAATGGTTATCATACAGAATTGCACACTTATTCTGTTCGTGCGCGGGACTCAAACCTAGTACAAGTCCAGAAGCAGCCATGGGTGATGGGGTAGGGCCCCTCAACGAGGCCCTGGAATCTGTCACAACGGAACGAGTGGGCGTTCTCTCACACACTCCCACAGACCCAAGTCAATTTTTGAATTTTTTTAGGTTTAGCACGTGCTACGAGGTCGTACCTTTGATACAACATCCAGTGCTGGGACCTCCACAGTATTACTATTAGGCTACCATAGGACCATAGCCTTGGCTACGTAACGGCGGTATGGCCCAGTCCACGTGACATGGAGTTCGGGGCGCTGAGTCGAATGGTCTTTGTCCGAGGAGGCTGCGGCTTATGGTTCGTCAGATACGCCCAATCGAACATGTGCGAATTTGAGCGCGCATCACCCAGATCCAGGTGATGACGTCACAGCGTGCAGCCAGGTAGCCACACCATCTAGTTGTGTACAAAAATGGCCATATTCGGAGCGCGTTCGATTGGGGAACCGTTTATCGCAGCTTCTTCGG